CTATTAGGACACTTTAGCTTAAAATATGTTTACAGACAGTCCTCGGGTTACATCACCATCTCCCATATATTTATTTTTAAAAAAAGTTCCATCATTTCGATGTATGTACCATATGTGCTTTATGTTTTTTATTATTTACTTACCACAAGTAAAGGTCAGGAATTGTTATCTTTTAATTTTTTTTTACTGTTTCACTTCATTACTGCTGTGTATGTGCTCCATGTGAGTGACATAGGTGCTTATGTAGGTGGGTTCCGACTTATGGCGAAATCACATTACATTACGTGGTGCCATAGGAACAGATCTCCAATGTAACCCGAGGACCTACTGTATTTAAGTACAAAGGATGAGTCAACACAAAGAAAAATAGAAGGTAGCAGTAACTGAGCCTAAAGCAGTAGACCTCTCTCTCCTGGGCAGGTTTGTCCTCCTCTGATCGGCCTGGGGCCACCTGGAGGTGAGGCCTCATCTAGATACCTTGCCTGCTTACAGGGTCCTGGTAGCGCCCCCAGAAGCCTGCTCTCCAGCTCCCTGGGCCTGGCGGGGCACATGCTCAAAGGCTTCACTGAGGACAGGGCCTGCCTGGGGTGAGCTGGGTCTTAGTCACTGTCATGCCCTCGCCTTCTCTTACAACAGGGCAAGAAGTCAGAGTAGTGCCTGTGATGGCAAGCCCTGGGGAGTATGAGGAACTGTCTACCACCTGGCCCAGCCCCAAAGGCAGAGCTGCTGCTCCTACATGGCAGGAGCCAGGGACATCAAAGAAGCTTATCTTGGTCCTGTGCTATTTTTCTCCTCATTCTTGTGCTTCTTTCTTTTCCCTGCTCTTCTGATTGTCAGGGCCGTCAGGGGGGTACACAGTGCCAGCAATCACCATACGGCTATTTCAGGTTGAAATTCCTCAGTATGACATGTGGCCAGCGACTGGCATAATGGGCAGCTCTAATAGGAGCTAAAATTTGTGGGACCTTTTCATGCTCCCTTCCAACACATTTGCCAGATAGTACCTCCTCCTGCACCCCTTAAGTGGCCTCCACAACAGGTGGCCCCATGCACTTCGGGCTATCTGGGCTCCACTGGGCAGTCTTGCGATGGCCCAGGCTCACAACCTAAAGAGGCTCCCCAGAAGAAAAAGGAGCTGGAGACGGGAACATTACTAGCCCAAGAGGAAGTCAGCAGGCCTACTGAGAGCCCTGAGTCCTATACTCCCAGCCAGCCCTTCCACCCCAGTTCCACCTTCTCGGGCCTCTGGGTCTTACAGTTCAGGGGGGCTCCTGGCACCACTGCTCTCCAGGCTGTAGTGCTGCGGAGGGAGCCACTCTAGGGGGTGCAGGGCTCCAGGACATGCCGAGGGGAGATGGCCCAGCCCTCAGCAGGAACAAGGCACCTAGGCCCCTACGCCCATGAAATGCCAGGACATTTGGGGGGGTGAATACCAAGAACCCCAGTTTAGCTGCCTCGTTTTCTCGGGACATTGCCATTTGGTCAGGGGGTATCCTCCCCCACCCCTCCACACACACCCCTGCTCGCCCAGGTCTTCCTTGTGGATACCAGCTTCCACGTGGGCTGAAGGGCCGAGCCCCCTGCCCTTCGTAAGGGCCCCCACTCCGCACCTGTAGCTCCTCAGGCCCAGAAGCCTGTCCACTCCCTTTCCCCTGGGGTCACTTCCTTTGAGCCTGCAGACCTCCACAGTAACGTGGGAAGGCTGGCAGGAGCTCATGGTACCCACCTCGAGAAAGACGTCCCTCACCTTGCTCAGGCCAGTAGGCTTTTTCACGTTCTTGGAGCCTCAGTGGAGCCGTGCGTGAGCGCGGCCCGCCTCCCCCGTGCGCCCCGTCCCGGTCACACAACGCCACCAAGAGCACCTCTGGTCCCTCCCCGGTTCAGCACCGCGCCGTGCGCCCGGCCCCTAGCGTACCAGGTGAGGTCGCGGCCCACCAGCGCCATCAGCGAGTTGCCTGCGGAACAGGCCAGTCGGCACGCACCCCCGGGCTCACCCAAGTCGTCCTCCCAACTGAACTGGTCCTGCGCTGTCGCCCCCGCCGCAACACACAACACACTTGCCGCTTGGGCATGGTTCCAGGCCGCCCCGCGCCTCGGTTCCCTGGCCTTGGCGTCCGCGTCGCGCGCCGTGACGTCACGCCAGCGCCAGCCCCGCGTCGCAGTACGCGCCTGTGCCGCTGGGCTCTGGCTTCGAACCCACGCGGCAGAACACTGCCCGCCGTAGCCCGACCCCGGAAAGGTCAGAAGCTGGACCCGAGTGGCCGGACAGCTATTATTAGAAGTCCTGTGTGGTGACGCCAGGATCCAGGGGCGGCGCCCGAAAGTCACTGTCTCGATATGCGCCGTGTACCGGGGCCCACAGACAGGAGCCCGGAGGAACAATTGCGGAGATGAGTCTCCAGCCGCACCGAGGTTCCGGCCATCACGTCTACAGCTGTGGGAACCAGAGGCTGGCCACGCGCTGGGACCCAGCTGTGGTCTCAGTAGGGCATCGCCCTTGGTTGGCGGCAACGCTGCGGAGAATCTCTGCCCCCTCCTGCTCCGGTGTTGGCGGAGGCTCCACCAGCTGGTCATTGGACAAAGTGCATCCCACTTGTCACCACAGCCTGTTGCAGACATGACTCGGTAGCAATGGAATAATGAATGCAGGGCCCGTTCAGTAGGGTAGCTGCAGACATGTAATAGGGCGTTCCCTGGGTTGTCATTTCTTTGGGTTCCTTTACAGGACGCTGCCCTAGTGCAGTGATGGCGAACCTATGACACGTGTGTCAGAGGTGACATGCAAGCTCATTTTTTGGTTGATTTTTCTTTGTTAAATGGTATTTAAATAATATAAAATAAATATCCAAAATATAAGTCTTTGTTTTACTATGGTTGCAAATATCAAAAAATTTCTATATGTGACACAGCACCAGAGTTAAGTTAGGGTTTTTCAAAATGCTGACACGCCGAGCTCAAAAGGTTCGCCATCACTGCCCTAGTGTGTACCCTGCTTATGTGTCTTGCAAGTACTCAGTGGGTTGGGCAAAGAAGAGGCCTCTACCTGCTCCCCTGGCCACCACTGATTCCCTCACTAGCTTTTTGGGACTTGGAGGCTCCCACAGTGGGATTTAACAGGGTTTGAACCTCAGCCTTGTAGTACACTACCACTAAGTCAAGTTTGAGCCTCAGTCCCCCCCATGTGGGAGCTCCAGACTTGCCCTGCACATGCTCAGGGGCCTCCAGTGAGGGATAGCAGCTCTGCCGTGCAGGAAAGCTTGTGGTGGGAGGCATGGCACCTTACGGGGCAGTTGTGGTGGGTCCAGAGCAGGGGTCCTCAAACGTTTTAAACAGGGGGCCAGTTCACTGTCCCTCAGATCGTTGGAGGGCCAGACTATAGTTTAAAAAAAACTATGAACAAATTCCTATGCACACTGCACATATCTTATTTTGAAGTAAAAAAACAAAACGGGAACAAATACAACATTTGTATTTGCATGTGGCCCGCGTTTGAGGACCCTTGGTCCAGAGGCTGTACTGCCATGTCTGACAAGGGCTAGATGCCAGTTGGGCGCAGGAGGTGCTGGGGAGCAGCAGGGTCAGCTCTAAGTCTGCTCTCCCAAGCTCACATTACCCCATGGGGAAGGCCCATCTGTACTCTGGATATTGGGAGTAATCAGCACTGATGGCATTTTAGAGTGAGGTGACTGGGGATAAGGAGGAATAGAAGAGGCATGGAAGGAGCTGAGGGGCTATAGAGTGCACCACCACCACCACCCTAATGGAGGGAGTGCAGATGAAACTCTGCTTGAGCCCTCTCAGGCTCCTCAGAACTCTCCCACCAGGCATGGGGCCTCTAGGTCCATCTTTACACCTCCAGTTCTGGCAAGAAACCCCATCTTCCATATCTAGTTGGGTTCCTCATTCCCAGTGGAAGTCTGATCACCTGCTTGCCTTCAATAGCAGGGTAAGTACTCTTAGTAACTTCCCAGCACTGACCCCTACCCTGCTCCTGGCATAAATCCACACTTTCCCATGCAATACTTAACTTCTTCCCCCCACTGCACCCACATCTTCAATAGTGTCATGAATAATTTGGTCCTGAATAGTGAGTACAGACACTGTTGCTAGGTTCCTCCAGATGAAGGGCTGAGGGATCCAGGGAGGCTGCCCAGGTGGGAATGTTCCTGAGCAGGCCAGAGGGTTGGTAGATCATGTAGGGGAGCCACCCTAGGAGCTACAAATGGCTGGCTGCATGCTCAGTGGGCCACAGGGCAGGATTGCAAGGTATGAGTCCAAGGTGGGTGCTCAGCCTAGCATCCTTCCATGTGAGCAGGGTCACTTCCCACAGGCTTCTGCCTCCCTGGTCATGGCTGGAATGCCCTCCCCATTGTCTACCTATATATCAGTTCTACCATGGGCCCTCAGGTTTATGAAAAAGAGCCTGATAGCCAGGGTCCCATGATCAACCTACAGGACAGGACAAGGTGCAGCCCCATGTCTAGGCCTGGTCAGCTGCTTGTGTAAAAGTTGGTAATTGCTCACTCAGGTCTTGCAGGAAAGAGCAAAAGGTGGCAGCCCACCAAGGCTCTTTGCCAAGACTTAAAAAGTTAGCAATGGGGCTGGCTGCTCTGCTTGTCCCCTCTGTCAGATAGCACTTTCCCACTGTCAGGGGGCAGGGCTAGGGGAGCACTGGAGAGGGGCAGAGTATGCCAGCTGCAGGCCAGGTGCTACCATCCTTGGATCCCACCCACTCCCCATGTTGTTGTGCTGCCTGGGAGAGCCCTTGGTACTGAGGCAAAGGCAGTGCTGGCAGAGGAGGCTCCAGAGCTAAGAATTGGCTGGACAGTAGCAGGCACTTCCTGCAGTGGGAGGAGCACCCTTGACTTCTGTCATGTCAACAGCTCATGTGCCCTTTGAAGCTCTTCCTAAAACCACAATTTGACCCAACTGATCCCTCCAGTGGGCTCAGTCGCAGAGAGCCCTGTCCAGCAGGTGTATGAGAAAGAAAGACAAGGTGGTTTTAAAATCCTGACACTCAATTTAAAGATGAATGCCCTCCCCTTCTGCAGCATCCTGAGCCAGGGCAGCTTGTGGGTATGATCACTTCTTGGTCCAAAACTGCTTGTACCGCTCCAGGTCAAAGTTGTCAAGGAGCTCTGGCTGCTGCTCCTCCTTCCCTCGGAGCTGGGCCTCACGTTTGCGGAACCGTGCCCGCCTCTCCTCTGGGGACAGGGCATCCAGGTCCACAGGCATCTGGAGAGGAAGGGAAGGCATGCACTCATTCACTGGAAGGGACCAGAAAGTGTATGCCACTTCTCTCCCTTCAAAGTTTCTACTCTTTAAGATCTTGGTGTGTGGAGTGAGTTCCATAACCTGCCCTCCCACCCCCGCCCCCCTATCCAGCCTAGACCTGCACCCCAGGGAGGGAAGCTTACCGCCAGCATTCGTCTGGGCTCCCGGTAGCGGATGTGAATGGTGGAGCCATCCTGCTTGACCAGGAGCATGGGGTAGAGGCGTGCATAGGCCTGTCTGTGCACACGAGTGAGCGAAGCTCTGCTGCTGTCAGCCCGACGCGAAGATATGTGCAGGCAGCGGACCACAGGGGCAGCCCCTATCACCACATGCTGCCGCAACAGGCTGCAGACACATATGTTGGTCAGTGGCAGGTGCTGGGACCAGAGTGCCCCCTAAGCCCAAAATGGCCAGCTCCTGTGGGTGCCCACAGGAATCGCCTAGGTTTGGGATATGGTCAAAGGACCTTCTACCCCATGTCTTGGAAGAGGCCAAGGAGGGTGAGCACAGAGACTTTCAGACTGCTGAGGACAGGGGACTTAGGACAGCAGTTTCTAGATGTCTGCAGTTCTGGACATGAGCATGGAATAGGAAACAATCTTTTAGGGGAACACAGACTTGGTGCTGTGAACTGGATGTTTGTAGCGCTAAATTCACATGTTGAAGCCCTAACCCCCAATAAGAACGCATCAAAAGCAGGGCCTTTGGGAGGTGGTTATGGTTACAAGAGATCAGGAGGGTAGGGCCCTTACAGTAGGAATGGTTCCCTTATAAGGGACGGGAACTGGCTTTCTCTCTGCCCTGTGAAGACATGGAGAAGGTGGCCATCTGAACCAAGAACATCTCCAGAATTGTGGGAAATAAGCTGCCTGGTCTGCTGCGATCTGTTGGGGCAGCCTGAGCCCAGCAAGACCTGTGGAGCCCACTAGCTTCTGAACATGGCATACACTCAAAACCTCCCACACGGGGAAAAGCACATACTCTGAGGCAAGGCCCTGCCCTGACCCATCTCTCACCCACTTGGGGCCTTGCCTTATTACCCCCTAAGTCCCCTACAGCGTGGCTTTCATGCAAATTTGAATTTAGACCCACCTCCTGCACCTCCCAGCTGACACCCAGGGCTGAGGGCCCATCTCCTCTGCTAGACTCTGATGGCCTGGGGGCAAGAACCACAACTTATTGACTGTTAAATCCTACCATTAGCTGAGCACTCAGTAAATTTTGGCCAAATGAATCCAGTCTCTGCCTTCAGAAGTCTAAGGCAGGAGAAAGGAGGTGGTGGCGGAGCGCCAGCACCAGAAGAGCCTGCAGTCAGGCAGGGCCTATGCCTAGCAGTGCCAGGGAGCCCAAGGCACAGCCTCTCCTGAGAACCTGAGATCAGTGGGCTGGGGAGGCTTCTGGAAGGGGAGAGAGCCAATCCTTGGAGAATGTTGGTGTTCTCCCACTATAGCATTGGTTCCCACATGAACCTTTCCCAGGATGAGGGCCCTCCAGGGAATGCTGTAGCCAGAGTTCCTTCCCCATGTTCACACTGACTTAGACTCCAAGTGTCACATCCCTGTCCCCAGATTCCACAAAAACAAGGAACCTGCCCTCGTTTTCTCCTCTGGCAACACTAACCATACCATGCTTCCCATTTGGGGGAAGCAATGGGGCAAGGGGAACAGACAGTGCCTGTGGGAACAGCAGGAAAGCCATGGCATTCTCCAGGGACCCAGAGCAGAGACTGGTTACAGGGTCTGAATAGGAAAGTGACGACCACCACTCTCTGGTGCTAAATAGTCACGAGTGGCTTCTATTCCTCCCTCATCGCCCTGTCAAAGCATCTGTACATGTGTACTTGTGTATATTCTCCAGATAACACACTGGCTTGGGAGGCTTCCCTGGGCAGCGCGGCCTGAGGCTCCAGAGTTGATATTCCTTTGGGTGACCCCATGACAGCAATCACAAGAGGCCTGGAAGCTGGTGCTTACCCAAGCATGCTGCCCACAACTGCCATTCCTCCTGAGGGCCACTGTGGCATGTGGAGGCCCAAGACCAGTCACTGGCCCAGTGTGTGACCTGCTAAGGAAGAACAAGTATTTTTTTAATGTGTTTTTATTGATTTCAGAGAGGAAGGGAGAGGGAGAACGAGATAGAAACTTCAATGATGAGAGAGAATTATTGATTGGCTGCCTCCTGCCTGCCCCCCACTGGGGATCGAGCCCACAACCCAGGCATGTGCCCTGACTGGTAATCTAACAGCGACCTCCTGGTTCATAGGTCAACGCTCAAGCACTGAGCCACGCCAGCCGGGCAAGAAAAGTATTTCTAACAGGCCGGCTTTTCCAAAGGAATCGATCCTTGCCAAATCCCAGCCAAGAAGAAAGTCACAAACCAAATCACATCTATAAACAGGTGTGTTATTCCCAGGTCACTGCCCGTCTCTCCCAGTAACCAGCAAGCTCTCGCCCTAACCTGGGATGAGAATCACCTGTGGAAGGTTTGTGATCAGCAGATGCCCAGGTCCTACTCCCAAAGAGCCTGACTCGGTAACTCTGGGCAGGGCCTGGGCCCATTCTCGTGAGTTAGAGTCAGGAAGCTGCTCTGAGCATGGAGTGCAACAGAAACTTGTTTTCCAAGGTCATTTAATTCTCACAATTCAGCGAGGTAAGGGACCCTGTGGCGTGGCAGGAGCCGAGGCCCAGGTACTCTTACTAAGCCCTTACTCCACTCCCAGGGAAGCCTCTGTCTGTGCTGAGGTTCCCGCGTGACAAACCCGAAGTTTCAAAACCAAATGCCTGGGGGGTCTGCATTCAGACCCCACGGCCGAGCGGAGATGCAGGTGTCTCGCTGCCCCCTATCTGTCAGAGCCGGGCACTGCAGGCGGCGACACGGCGGGAGAGGGGAAAGCCGTGAGCTGCCCAGGAGGATGCCGGCGGGACCCGAAACCGCCCTGGGGGCAGCCGTCCCTGCCGCGCGACGCCGCACCTACCGCCGCTCCCGGAGCCCCGAGCCAACACAGCCCTTCCGCGGCGCGGCCGCAGTCTCCGCGCGCACTCCGTCGCGCAGCGCTTACGTACAGCCCTCAGGGCGCTGCGCTGACGTCGGCCCCACCAGCGGAAGTGGGCGGGCGCGGCGCTGCGACGCACGTCTCCGAGGGTGGCGCCGTGGCCTCTCATGCTGCGGCGCCCGGTGGCGGGGCTGGCGGCGGCCGCCCTGGGCCGCGCCCCCGCAGACGGTGAGTGGCGTCTGAGCGCACGCAGCTTCCGGAGGCCCTTCCTGGGCGCCGCCGCGACCCGCGTAGTCGGAGGCGTTCGCGTTCCGCTCTCTCCCTGCACCCAGGACGTGGCTTCCCGCGTGCTTCAGGGTGCGTCAGGGGACCGGGGGTGGGGGGGGTAGACACCGGAACACCCTCCCCACCCCACCCCCCGTCCTCAGTAGCTTGCACGGCTGGCTTGTCGCGGAGTCCTAGCGAGCGAAGCCGGGGACACGGGGACTGGGTAATGCGGTCTTTCATGGAGGTGAATTGACTTCATTTAGGGTCGCCCTTCGTCTTGAACTTGTGTCCTGTGTGTCTGGGTGTTAAAGTTGCTTTTGGTGGCCACATTTCTTACACACATTAAAAGCTGGTTCCTCTGTGCCAGTTCTCAAAACGTAGGACATTCTCCTGGCACGGAAAGCTCCAGACAGCTTGTAACCCCCTGCAGCCCGAGGACTTCATGCGGATGCCATTGCGGACCCTGAAGGACGCGGAGGGGCAGAGAGGGAAGCAGTCTGACACTCCCCCCCAAGGTGGGCGCACCGCAGAGCCGGAAACCCCGGGAGGTGAAAGGCCACTGCGTGGCCGCCTGAGGAGCCTGGTATGGCATCGTCCCCACCGCCCCTCCCAGCTCGCGGGGCCCCCAGGACTGCAGGGTCCCGGCCTGCCCCAAGGCTGCTGGGCAGTGCAGATACAGAGACACCACCTAGAGCAGGTTCTTGGGGCAGGCATTCCTGACTTGGACGTGGTAATCGGATGTTCGGCTTCTCAGTCCCAGAGACCTCAAGTCTGGATTGCTGAGGCTGCCCATCTGCTGTTCGTAGACGTTCTTTTGGGAACAGAGAGGGAAGGTGCTGGTTTGGGGAGGAGCAATGAGGCGAGTCGCCTCGCCTGTTACCACTGTGGTCCCTCACTTGGGAAAAGGGAAGCAGTGAGCTGAGCTGACAGCTGGCCTGTATGGGTGGGGCCCACAGGGACAGGAAGAGGAACCAGGACTTGGCCTCTTGTGAGTGCCCTAGGCAGCTTGCCTGCAGGCTTTTCTGGACTTTTTGTCACTCTTAGACCTCCCGGACCCTGACTTGCTGTGAAGAATGCAGGAAACCCTCTCCACTCCTAGGAGGGACCTGGGAGGGGTGGGGTTTCCTGTCTTACCACTAACAAGCTTAATTTCCTGCTATGTGAGTTTCCACTCTATCCCTGCTCATAGAATGTCACACAACTGCCTGCAACACCAAACTCTCTTATGCCCAGGTCAGGGCCACACCTGTGACAGGTGTAGTGTGCAAGGACTTTGTTTAGATTCTGGGTTCACTTAGACCTGGCCCTTGATCTTTGGTATGGGTGATATCAGTTATTTCCTTTCCTTTTTTTTAAAAGTAGGTTTACAATTGTTCTTTTTAAAAATATATTTTTTTATTGCTTTCAGAGAGGAAGGGAGAGGGAGAGAGAGAGAAATGTCAAGGATGAGAATCATTGATTGGCTGCCTCCTACACGCGCCCTACTGGGGATCTAACCAGCAACCTAGGCATGTGCCCTTGGCCAGAATCAAACCCGGGACCCTTCAGTCTGCAGACTGATGCTCTATCCACTAAGCCAAACTGGCCAGGGCTCAGTTATTTTCTTGAGTAGCAGATTCCGGGAGTTACAGCAGTGCAGTCACTACTTTTCTATTCAGCCACACCAAAAAAATTTATTTTACACCTAAACTGTAAACTTCAGGGTTTTTTGTAGCATGTTCACCGTAGCCTGAAAAAAATGTGCAGCTGATCTGAGGAAGAGCAGAAATGAAGAGGGTATTGTGATGTGTTTGGGGTGGAAAGAGGTGACTCCAGCCCGCCAACAGTGAAAGTTAGTAATGAGGGCGAGCCCCTGGGAGCACTGGAATGGGGGCAGGTACTTTTGTAGTCAGCTCCAAGTCCTTGCTACCTCCGCGTGCCAGGCCTCTGTCTCCCCCAGTCCCTGCTGACTGTACCTGAGGGTCTCAGTTTCTTCTCTGAGAGCAAGGATGGTTCCGTCGTACCTCTGCCCTTCCTGCTTTGTAGCTTGCTTGCCTGGGACCCTCCCCTCTTGTGCCTCCTCTGCCCTCTGTCTGTGGTGCAGAATTGGGATTTGGTACAAGACTGAATCCTGGTTCTTCTCCTTTATGGAAAGAGACCCAGACATGCCATGCAGCACCGATACAGGCCCAAGTCCTGCATGGACAGTGTGGCTCTTGCTCATGCTTTTGAGGGGCCAGCTTTCTTTTATGAGAGGAATAGTTCCAGCCCCACTGTGGGGAGAAGTGAGGAGTAATGGCTGGTGCTTTGTGGCTGCCCCATTTCAAGCCAAGTTCCCAAAGGCTGAGTGGTTTGTCCAGGCTACTTGGCCAGGATGTGTCTCTTTGGGGGGTGGGCCATGACCTGCTGTCCTGAGCCAGATTCTTTCCCGTCTTGTGGCTTGTAGCTTACTCGAGGGCTGGCAGGGCTTGCCCTTTCCTCTCCTTCTTCTCAGAGGCCATGCCTTTTCTTGGGTGTCTTGTGGAGGCGTGGGAGGAGACGCGGGTGGTGACAGTGTCCTCTTGGGACGGAGCGGGATGAAAGTGGCAGCTGGGAAGAGGAGCTTCCACCTTGTGCTTCTGGAAGAAGGCTGCCTGGCTACATTGGGTGCTTCTTGGACAGGGTTCTGTCGGAGAGCATTCCGGAATGCGCATGCTTGCATCTGGGTTTTTATTGCAGTCCTGTGAACTTTGCCGTTTCTTGCCAGGCCACTAGGGTTTGGGATTGTGGGATAGTCAAGAAATGGAGAACACAGAATACCCCAGCCAGAGGGCTCTATGCCCAAGAGATGACTCCTCTGACTCACATGTTTCAGTTGGTTGGTTCTGCAGGCACTGGGGCCAAAGCACCGTCCCATGCTGGGTGTCCTGTGGAAGGTGACTTTACTGAGTGCTCTGTTGCGTGCTTACTGGACAGAGCCCTGTCCCCCCACGGCTCTCTAGGCACTTGTGCAGGGCCAGGCCATCCCTGGTGGTTTGTGTGGGCCCCTCGGGGTAAGACTCAGCACACATGCCCTGAGCCAGGTTGAGCAGGCTGGACTCCACCACCATGAGACTACAGAGTGGGGCAGGTAATGGCTGCACTGGGGCACATGGAGCTTGGGCTTGATGTAGGTGGGGGCTCAGGAGAGGCTGAGGGCTGCAGTGATTCAGAGTCAGGCAGGGAGTGAGCTTTGCAGCTGCCAGCCTGTCCTGTGTGGATACATCCCCTGCTCACTGCTGGCCCAGTGCAGGTAGGTAGTGAGCCTGGGAGTGCTGCTCAGTGGGACAGGCTCCCCTACCCAGTGTCCCACCACAGGGTGGAGGGCGCAGGATAGAAACCAGTGTTTGGATGTGAGGTGATAAGCAGGACTGCCACATGCCCTGTGGGGGTGTCAGCACTGGGACTTGGTGTGTGATGTTTGGTCCTAACTGAAGGCTAGTCCTGTGCAGGTTGGCAGTCTCCAGGTGTCAGAACTCACAGTCAGGAGGTGTGGCCTTACTGCAGGCGTGGGGAATGCAGCAACTGCTGGGGAAGCATGTTGGAGAAAGCCCTGGGTCTTGCTGACGAGGTTACAGTTGAGGGCTGGAGGGTGCCCCCCAGAGTTGTGGGGGTATGAGGTAGGGCACCCTCCCATGGCAGACACATGACAGAAAGCAGAGCGTCCCTGAGGGGCTTCTGTGCAAACAGGCAGATGGGCCTCTCTCCCTTCTCTGTGCTCCCAACCCCCCTGAGGGGCACCTCCCAAGTCCCTAACAGGAGGGTAGGGGTGCCTTTGGGTCCTCTTCTCCCTAGAGGTAGACTCCCCAAATTGGGTGCTGGGGATGAGTGCCCACTGGGTTGAGGGCTTGCCACTATGATCACAGCTCCAGCAGGCCTCCTGGTCCATGGCTGTGGCCATCACCATGTGTCCACTCGGGGCTGCTCCTGCCCAGGAAGAACTAATGTTCCTGTAGCACCAAACACAGCCACAGGTCCAAGAGTTCTAGGCCACTGGACAGCTGCAGCTGCCCAGCCCTAGAGACAAAGACCCAGCACTGCCCAGAGGCTGGCATTGTGGGGGTCAGACCCCAGTCCTCAGTCCCTCACGGGACCTGGTGGCACACAGCCTCCCCACTGCTTTGCTGGGTCTCCCTCCACTCCCCTCCCCAGTCACCCAGTGCTAGGTAGTCAGGACAGATCCAGGGGAGTAGGCTGGGCTGCCAATGGGACATTCTTCCTGCAAAGGACTGGGCTTTGTGAAGGCTGCCAGAGAGGGAGAGACCTCTTGTGTACCAGGCCTCAAGGGAGAGACAGGGCTGCACTTGGCTAATGGCCATGAGCTCAGAGCCAGCGCACGTGTGTGCAGGTGTGTATGTGGCACGTATTTGGGTCGGAAAGCTGGGATGCCAGTGAGAATCTAGGAGTCCACTGGGATTATCTCTAGATAGAAACGGTACTTTTTGTAATGGTGTTTGTAGGGTGTTTGTACCTTCCTGAAGCAGAGCATTGAAGTCCCCCCGACCTCCCCTACTCGCAAGAGGCCAAGGAGATAAGAGTCAGTCACTTGGAGATGACAGAGTGTTGATGGGCTCCTCTGGGTCCTTCCTCCTGTGTCTGTTTGCCACCTTCTCCAGGAAACGTGTGTGGTGTGATAGCCCCAGAATAGCAGTGCTTAAGCCAGATTACCCAGTTGGCCTACATTGTGGATTAGGAAAACAGTGCCCAGTGGGGGCCCTGCTGGGGATGGGCAACAGGGCATCCCTGAGCCAAGTGGCCCTTCCCTCCTGGGCCTAATTGCCAGTCTGCTGGCCACTAATTGCACCTTGGAGGCTTCCACACCTTATCAGAGGGCCCCCCAGACAGCCTGCAGGGCCAGGCCTGCATAAGGAGCTGTTCCAGTTCCCACATGCCCATCAGGGTTTCCCTCTGAGGCAGGGCACACTTGCACCTGGCATTCTGCCATTGGGCTTACGTGGCTGGGTGGGTAGGCCACTACTGAAGGGCCGGGAGCAGCCTCCTCTTCCCAAAGGCACCGAGTGGGCAGCGCTGATTGTCCTGGGAGGAGTTTAGTGCTAAGAGGTCAGAGCAGGCTGGGATTACCCACTCCTCCCAGCTTATTCCGAGCACCCTGGCTGACAGAGATGGCCTAGCCCACCCAGGAAGTAGGTCCTGTTCAGGGGAGGGCCTTGAGGTGTCAGGCGGGCACAGAGCTGTCAGGGTTGATGCCTCCTAAACCCCTGCTTCACCCACACTCATCTGTGGCAGATGTCTGAGCCCTGTGCTGTTGGCTGGGAGGGTCGAGTATCAGAGAGGAGGGGAGGTCAGGAAGCTGTAGTCCCTCTGGATCAGCCCCTCACTTCCTGATGGAAGTTCCCAGAACAGGGTTTTGGTTCTGCTGATGTTAATCTCAGCCACCTCTAGGGCATGGTGCCTAGGAAATGCCGGGGTGGGGACCCAGATGTGCCTCTCCCAGGAGGGGAAGTCCAGGCTCCACAGGTGGGGTAGGAGTGCACAGCTGAGAAGGTGCAGCCAAGGCTTGAGTATGGCCCTCAGCTCTGATTCCTGGGGAGAGTTGGCTGGGAGAATGGGGGTGGGCGGGGGGGGGGGGTGGTGACTGCAGCCATCCCACTCACTGGGGTCCCTCAGGCCTGCTGATATCTGCTCCCACTCACCCACAGGGATGTCAGGACCAAGGCCTGTTGTCCTGAGTGGACCTTCTGGGGCCGGAAAGAGCACCCTGCTCAAGAGACTTCTGCAGGAGCATGGCAGCATCTTCGGATTCAGCGTGTCCCGTGAGGTTCCAGGGGGTTTGTGGGGCCCTGCTGATCCACATACATAGGGACTTGCCCACACTGCTAACACCCCTAAGAACCCTCTCTCACACAGGGGATTTGCCCATACTTTGACCCCCCCCACCGAAGTCTCCCACATAGGCTGAACTGGGCCCTTTGGGAAGGCCCTGGGATGGGTTGTGTGGGCTCTGGATGTGATGTTCCAGATGGGTCACAGATGCTTGTTCCTAGACACCACAAGGGACCCGAGGCCTGGAGAGGAGAATGGCAAAGGTAAGCTGGCCCTGCTACTCAGTGCCCCAGGACAGGCCTGGAGCCCACACACACACACACTTGTCAGGGTGATGCATGAGGCCTCATTCTCCCCATCTGATGGGGGCCCTTCAGGGTGGGTGGGTGGGCAGGCCTAGTTGGATAATAGGCATCAAATCTCATGCTAACACCAGCTGTCCACAGCAGGGTTCTGATCCCAACACCAGGCAGTTGTGGGGCACTGATCCCTGCTGGTGCACTGCATTACACATGGCTGTAAAGCTGGGGTCAGCCATACACACCCTTTACGGTTCAATGACATCAAAACCTTAGTAGGGTGTTTGTACCTTCCTGAGGCAGAGCATTGAAGTTCCTCAACCTCCTCCACTGAAGTTGGTAGTCACCAGGACCCCCCCAAAACTCCCCCTAGAAACCAGCAGTCTCCAGGTCCCCAACCTCTCCTGTGGAAGCTGGCAGTCTCCAGGTCCCTTCAGTGAGGATGGTGTGAGAGGTGGTGTCTGTCCGTTCCTCGATATCTCCCTGCCCAGTGACTGGAACACTCTAGGTGTGGATGGACAGATGGACAGACAGGCCCAGAACAGAAGCTGGTTCTGCACATGTGGTTGCATGGGCAGATGTGGCCTGGCTGTGGACAGCTTCAACAGCTCCTGCTCTTTGTAGATTACTACTTTGTGACCAGGGAGGTGATGCAGCGGGACATTGCTGCCGGGGACTTCATCGAGCACGCTGAGTTCTCGGGAAACCTGTATGGGACTAGGTGAGTCACATTCAGCAACCTCCAAACCTCCTGGGGACCTGGAGTGGGCAGCCCAGGCAAGGGCTTCTCCCTATGGGCTGTCAGGGTGAGGGACCCAGCCCTTCCAGGGATCAAGATCGAAGAGAAGCCTGAGCTGTCTAGGCTGCCCCCTCCTGTCCCCTCTCCACCCCACCTGGCCAGGCCCCTGTGGGCACGGGCAGCCAGCGATGGGCTGGTGTGCAGTGAAGACTCAGAGGACCTGGGTCTCAGAGGTCTGTGGGCTGCACTTCAGCCCCCCTCCTCTTCCCTCCAACAATTAGGGCAGCCTGGGAGAGTCCCCAGCCCAGCAACAGCTGTCCACTTCCCACACATCCAGAGCAGTATCATTGCACAGGCGGGTCCAGGCTTGCTATGCGCAGCCTGTACCTGAGTCCCCCTGTGACCGCCATGCTCCACCCCAGGTGCAGCTGGCCCCCAATGGGGGCCACTGGGGCTGCTATTACCCTTGGATGGTGAGCACCTGGGAGCCCTGAGCCCAGTGGTGACAGCCAGGGCCTTCCTGCCCCTACCCACTGCTGCCCCCAGCCTAGCAGATGGCCCAGTATGAAAGGGTTACTGAGGGAGTGCTTCCGGAAAGGGGAGCAGATGCTGATGGCCCCTTCAGGCTCCCAGAGCAGGGAATGGGGGAGGCAGAACCCCAGGGAATGGCAGTGGAGATGGTCTGGGTGCTAGGACCCAAGGAGCCCTGCTGAATGGCCCCGCCCCTCCTGCCTCCCAGCAAAGCGGCTGTACGAGTGGTGCAGGCCATGAACCGGATCTGCGTGCTGGACGTGGACCTCCAGGGTGTGCGGAACTTAAAGAAGACCGACCTGAGGCCCATCTACATCTTTGTGCAGCCACCCACGCTGGAAGTCCTGGTGGGGGTGGGGAGCCAGGCGCGGGAGGGGTGGAGGAGGGGCTAAGGCTGCCCTGCAGGCTCTGACCCTCCTTAGGCACCTCAGGAACAGAGGTTGCGGCAGCGGAACACGGAGACAGAGGAGAGCCTGGCCAAACGGTTGGCCGCTGCGCAGGCGGACATGGAAAGCAGTGAGTGTGGGTGCAGCCAGTGTCCCCCACCCTCCCCAATAGCAGGCAACTCATCTGCTAGAGGTGGGAGGCAGGGGCAAGAGCTGTCACCCACAGCCCCCTCCCCTCACTGATCCTCCACGGGCCCTGTACCCCCTCCCCCCCCTTCTCAGGCAAGGAACCCGGTCTGTTTGACCTGATCATTGTCAACGACAACCTGGACAAGGCCTACTGGAGCCTGAAGGAGGCACTCTCGGAGGTGGGCTCTGCCAGGGGCAAGGGATAGATCTCTGTGCCGGGAAGGGCTTGGGACAGCGGACTTGGGATCCAGGGTAAGCCCCTCTTTCTCCGGCAGGAAATCAAGAAGGCCCAAGGGACTGGCTGCTCCTGAGGATGCCAACGGCTGTGTCCTCCCTGGACAGTACCCTGCACCCACCCTGGTGGCCAGGGTGCCCCTTACAAGGTTGGCTCTGCCAGCCTCTTTCTGGGTGCCCCTGATCAGTCCCACTCTCCTGTGGGATCTGGGCCCACATCTTAATAAAGAGCTGCTGGTTAGAGTGTCCTTGAGTCCCTGGATTGCCGCCCTGGCCCAGAATCCTTCATGCTGGACCCCCACTCCGGCAGCCCCCGTCCTAAACACCCAGCTCTAAGAGGGCTGCTTGCAGCAGGTTCTACCCCATATCGGCTACTCTGGGCTAGTGGCCAGTGGGGTTGCTCCCCGATTTCACACTACTTCCCCAGGCTCTCCACATGCCCCAGCTCCACACCTCGGAGACCAGCAGGGGTGCCCTGCCCAGGGGCACTAAGGGGTCCCCCAGGGCTGGGCTGTTTTGTGCCCTGAAGCAGGGAGTACACACCTCTCCCACTGTCTCCCCAAGGAAATGAGGCTGGGACAAGAAGGCCCCAGGGGCTCATCCTGCCCCGGCTAACCTCCTGGTCCCTGAACCAAGTGGGGGTGGTAATGGGGTCTGAGACTACAAGGGCTGGATCCCTGCGTCCCGGAGGCCTCTGTGTCATACACTCCCTCAGTCTACTGAGCCCAGTTGGCCTGATGGTCTGGGAGAGTTCAGCTCTGGAAGGACACCTGGGGGCCTCTGTTGAGGTTACAGGCTCCCTGAGGGCCGAGAAGACACCTCCCTTGCCACTCAGGTCAGGTCAGGGCAGCTGTGGTGGCCTGTGGTATAGTGGTCCATGCCTAGGCCATATTCTTGCAATGGGACCAAGACAAACAGTGGACACAGACCTGGAGGAGGCAGAAAAAATAGGGGAGGCTGGGCGTGGTCCATACCCTCAGATGCACAGAGGAGGCCTGGCAGGAGTTGGGCCTGGACATAGGGCAGTGGGCAGGGGTGCTGGGCAGGTAAGGCTGGCTGCCTCCCAACGCACTGTCACCCAGCCTGGGGGAGGCCCTTCCTTCTCTTGGCCCCATACAATTCTAGGGACAATCAGGGATTCAGACCCGGGGCCTTCGGGGGAACAATGGGGCCCTTGAAGGCCCTGCCCCCTGCATTGTGCTTGGTGGTGAGAGGTGGCCCTGGATCGGGCAGGGATTCTGCCGGGTGTACACCCTTGGAGGCCAGTGTCTGACCAGCCAGCAGGTGGAAGGGCTCAGAGGGACTTGCATTTTCTGGCCTGAAAAAGGTAGGGTGCTATCTAGGGGACCAGCTGCGGGGTGCCCTTTGGGGCTGAGCAGTGTCACCCTCCCCTCTGGACCAGGGTTTCAGGCCTGGTCTAGCCTCTCCTGAAAGGGCATTCCCCAGGAAGTCACAGGTGCTGGGCCTGGCCAGGTGTCCCTTCATTCTGGGGGATCTGTCTCAAGCCCACTGCCCAGGTAGATCCTGCCAGCAGGGTCTTCTGGGATCGCAAGACCTGAGGGGGGAGGCTGCTCAGGCCAGCTGGTCAGCAGGGAGAGAAGGGGTGTGCGCCCAGAACCTCCCCCAGCAGCTGGGAACCCTTAAGCTGTGTGGGACTGACCAGCCCACGGAGGCAGCTGCAGTGTGTCCAGAGGCTGGAGCCTCAGGCTGTGGATGCCTGGAGGAAATCTGGGAGCCCCACCCCTATATGTGGGCAGTCAAGCCAGGATGGGTACACCTCCCTGCCCTCCACACCTGACCTGGCACCAGCCAGCCTCTTCATGGCCTGGGACGGACTTTCCTTAAGTCTTTTTGGGTCCCAGGTCCTCAGGTCTGGGCCTGGGGGACCAACAGAGTAGAACAGGCGCATGTCCTCCAGGAGGTGCCCCCAATATGCCACAGAAATGATGAGTTGTCTTTGCCAGAGCACGGATGGTGAGCAGGAGTTAGCAGAGGGCTTGGCAAGGGGCAGCAGCTGATCCAGGAGTGATCAGGGCTGCTGCACAGGGCAGAGCAGCGCCTGCTCAGGGCCTGTGGTGTGCTGGGCTGTGGGGGACCAGGTAGACATGGCAGGGGTTGGGGAGTGCAGAGAAAAAGTGACCCATGTTCTGCGTTGAGAAAGGTGGCCGCGTGCTGGCTGCGGTGGCTTTACCCAGGGCAGTTTGAGAGGTGGGGGTGAGGGGGTTAGGAGGAGTGGAGGTTGTGGGCACCCTGCAGGGGTGGGTGAGGGGCTCTGCATTCTAACCTGGGCCAGCAGTGCATGGGGAGTTCTGGAGGGAGCAAAGGCCAGGCTGCTGGAGCTGTTCTGGCTGTGCCACCATGACTTACTCCCCAGGCCACGCCCACCACACCTCCACCCTTTCAGGAGGAACTCCCTCACTTCCCAGTTCCAGCTGCACCTAAGAGGGGCTCCTGGGTCCTCAATGGGGTCTCTGCCCCCTCGGGTTCCCACCTGCACCTCATAGCCCTGGGATGTACCCACTCTCCCCAGAACTAGGTATCTCTTCGCCTCTCTGCATTTACTGAGCATGGTGAGGGCACCTCTCCCTCCTGGTGTGGAGGGAGTGTGCACACGTGTGAGCCAGAGTCCAGAGGCCAGCCCTGAAGGCCCTGGGAGGATGAGGGCTTTGGCTGAGATCCCAGACTCCCTGGGACCCAATCTGTCAGAGCCTGCAACCCTCCTTGGGCTGCTGGGGGTAGGGATGGGGGTGGGTGTTGGGGGTAGACTGTGGTGTGCATAGGAGCTGCTGTGCAGTTATGGTAAAAGATCTCCAGGCCTGGGGTTTGGGTTCCTGGCTGCCCAGGAGGTCTAGGCAAAATACAACTGGGACCTCCAGGATGGGAATTAAGTGTCCTGGGGAGGGACCTGGAAAGACTGAACCCCATGGGATCACCACAGAGCTGACAAGGGGAAACCTGGGAGAAAAGCTAAGGTTGGGAGGTGGGCATGCAGCACCAGGCCTGTGCCCCCCAGGTCCCCTCAGTGGGTGGACAGGTGGGAGCCGACTCTGGGCTCCAGCTAAGGCCTCAGGCTCGCAGGGCAGGGCCATCTTGAGGTATTCATGGATGCTCACCTGTGGATGAAGACTATCAGTGGCAGGTGCATGCAGGGTCCCTATGTCCTCATGGAGGGGAAAGCGCTGCCTGAGACTCATCATTCCACTGCCCGAAGGTTCCAAGGGCAGGGTCCCCCTGCCACATGACAAGCTGAGCACTGGGGCCCTGCCCACAGCCCCACCTCAGCAGAGGAAAGTCCCACCCACATGGCCCTAAGGGGTGCTGGGAGGAAGTGTGGCCAGGGATGGGAAGGAAATTGCTGGCCAGGCCATGGCCTGCTGCACTTCAGGATGGCGCTAGGCTGTCCTGGCTCTCAGCCCTAACTCCCCACCCCCACTTCCTAGAACCTTTGTTCAGATCTGGGGTGGGGGTACTTGAAGCAGGGAGAGCTCAGCTGCCCACCCTTGCAGAAGCCACTCTCCAGGTCTGGCCTGGGGGTAGTAAGCCAGCTATCTCAGGATAGGCCATCCTAAAGCCCACAGTCAGGCATCTCCCTCCGGGCTCTTGGTGGGGACGACCAGCCAGCTGTCATGGAGAACCCCTGTTTGTGCTCACATTGGCCCAGCAGTCCTCACTCCCAACACCCTTGCTGACTATTCAAGATCTGCCACCTCCCAGACCCAGGTTCTTTTTGCTCCCCCCGCCCCCACCCCTGCAAAACACACACACACACACACACACACACACACACACACACACACACACCTCATCTTGGATCTCTGAGCAGTTCTTATCTACACTTGCTCTGATAAAGAGTTTTGGGTGAGATTCCCTGTGAACAAAGGTCCCTGCAAACCCCCAGGGTCTGGATCCCTGAAGGGCCAGCAACCCCCCTTCCTGCTGGCCCAGCTGGGCCCTTGCTGGCCACAGCCTCCCAGCAGCACTGATAGCCCCACTGCAGCCCAGAACAGGTCACCAGCCAAAGTCCATACTCCAAACTTGCAGCCTCCAGACAGACAAATATATGCCAGGTAGGGAGAAAAGATGGGAGCGGGGACGGAGTGATAGGGCGGTAACTATTGTTGCGGTTTATAAAGAAGTTGTAGAGACCAAGAAGACCATGTGACCCCCCCCCACGCCCATACCCCATGGGACAATCAAAACTGTAGCCCACCCACACTTCCCTCAGATTTCCCTATGTTTCGTATGACCTTTTTGAAATGTTTTAATTTGCCCTACCTGGTTTGGCTCAGTGGATAAAGCATCAGCCTGCGGGTGGAAGGGTCCCAGGTTCAATTCCAGGCAAGGGCATGCACCTTGGTTGCGGCAGCTGATTGATGTTTCTCACCGATGTTTCTAACTCTCTATCCCTCTCCCTTCCTCTCTGTAAAAAATCAATAAAATATATTTTTAAAAAAATAAAATGTTTTAATTTTTTTTGTTAATCCTCAACTGAGGATATTTTTTCCATTGATTTTTTTTAGAGAGAGGGAAGACGGGGAGGGAAGGAGGGAAGGGGAGAGGGAGGGAGGGAGGGAGAGAGAAACATCAGTGTGCGAGCACGGGCCTTGCAATGGTGTGAGAAGGTCGCTCACCATTGATTGGTCGCTTCCCACACAAGTCCAGACTAGAGTGGGGGCTCGAACCTGCAGCCCAGGTATGTGCCCTTGACCGGAAATCGAACTTGTGACCCTTCAGTGCACAGGCAAACACTCTAACTACTTTCCCACACCAGTGCTTTCCCATGTTTCCCATGACCTTTTTATTATTATTTTATTAATCCTCACCTGAGAATATTTTTCCATTTATTTTTTTTTTTTTTAAGGGAGAGTGGAAGAGAAAGACAGAGAGAAATATCGATGTGTGAAAAACACATCGATTGGTTGCCTCCAGCATGGGCCCCGGTCGGGGCCCAGGCCAGGAGGAGCCTGCAACCAAGGTATGTGCCCTTGACCTGACCAGAATCGAACCCAGGACCCTTTGGTTCACAGGCCAGCACTCTATCCACTGAGCCAAATCGGCTAGGGCTCCCATGACCTTTGATGTTCCCGGTTACTCCCATGAGGCATGTGGTCCTCACTTCTCTGTCCCCAGGGCCCCACTGGGCATGCATATCTTGGGTCCCCTTGGTCCCTCAGAGCCCCTGGCCTGATGCCCTTGGCTGTGTTGATGGTTGGGTATGATGTAGGAGCCCCTCCTGGAACTTGTCTCCTGTTGTCTCATGGTCACCTGGGCTGAGGTTTGGGGGGGAGGCAGCAAAGGCAGGCCCTTCCACACCATTGCAAGGCCCGTGCTCTTAACCTGGCTCTTCACTGCAGGTGGGTTCTGGTCCCCACCTGCGGTGACATTTACAAGTTCTGCTCTCCCTTCCTGTTGTGCACTCTGGGCAGTTGCCCTTGAGGAATGGGGGGTTGGACTCCCCTCCTGGAGGGTACAGTGGCTGCAAAATCTATTTAGAATTTCCTTTTCCCCATTTAGTTATTTATTCAATAATTTGTATCAGTAGGGACTCGTTTATTTTATACCTTGGTATTGCTACTTTATCCACTCTATTGCCCAAATTGATCTGGTTTCGGACACCCATGGGGAGCTCCTTCCATGAATTACTGTACTGCTTTGCCATACCCTTCCGCAGTGTGTGTGTGTGTGGTGGGGGTGGGGGTGGGGGGCTCGTGCTAGCACTTCCTTACTCTGGCACCACCAGATGCTCCAGGCGAACTTCCTAAAGTGCTGGGACTGGTCCTCTGGATCCATGTGCCAGGTCAGGAGGCAGCATCAGCTGAAGGTGTGGATTTGAGGACTCCTGTGCATGTCACTAAGACCAGGGCAGGGGTCTTCCAGGCTAGACCTGAGCAATGCCAGCCCCCAACTGTGGAATGTGTGACAGGGGTCCTGCACACACATGTATGAGCACATGGACGTGCACCTGGTCTGAAGAGCCAGAGCCTCTGGCCCTGCCCGAAGGCTGTCTGAGACCCCACAGCACAGAGGCTCACTCCTCCCCCTCCGACTGCTCAGGATGGCCCTTCAACTGACCACTCTCATCTGCCCTCTTCTCTGTACACCAGGTCTCTGTGGCCCTGCCTGCATCATCCCTTACCCCCCGGGGCAGGGTCTGACCTGTGCCAAGCTAGAGCTGGTCTCAAGCTCCCCCTGCCACATCTCATGAGTTGGTCATGGGTGTGAGGGGAGTATTTCCACCACAGGGATTGCCAAATGAGACATAAAGGGTTTCCCCAGAGAACCAGTTGTGAATACTGATCCCCAAAGCACAAGTCAAGTCTGTCTGCACCCTGAGACTCCCCCCATGTCTTGGGAGAGAGGAAAGAAGTGGGGGCTGTTCTGCCACCCCTTTCTGGTTCCTGGGCAGTGGTGTGGGCCTTAGCCTCCTGTGAGGTGTCAGGTCAGGGTGGAACAGGTCCTGGAAGAGCAGAGGTTGTCATGAATAACAGCCAGTCTCAGGCCTGAGGGGTCCTCTGTGAGTCCCTGCCTGAGGCAGAGTGAGGGAGAAGGTGGCCCTGAAGGGACTGGCCTGCAATGAGTCTGCACACGCACGAGTGTATGTGCACATGGGAGTGTGCATATCTGCATACACATGTGTCTGAGTATTTGTATGTGTGTGGTGACTGTGTGCACGAGTGTTTAAGTGTGTGCACACTTGAGTGTGCATATCTGTGAGTTCATTGTACACCTGTATGCACGTGTCTGAGTGTTTGAATGTGCGTACACGGGGTATTTTTTTATATGTGTACTCATGTGAGAGTGCATGTTGTCTGTGAGGATAGTTGTACACCTGTATGCATGTGTGTGTCTGAGTGAACATGAGTGTGTGTCTGTGTTTGCATTGCATTATGTGTAGCTCTGAGGTGGGCCGTGCACACAGATGTAAGGAAGTGGGGTCATTTCCCCAGGAACCCTGACTACCCCCTCTTCCTCCCCACCTCCCGCCAGGGAGAGGACCTCCCGCCAGGGAGAGGCCCAGCTGCATAAAGAGGGCCTGGAGCCCGGCTTGTCTCTGCCTCTCCATCCCACACCTGCCCACACTGCCTCCAGGCCTGTTCTAGGAGGGAGGGCCAGAAGAGTTGGGCACTCAGGGGTCTCCTTTCCCAGACTATCCAGGAGCAGGTACTGGCCTTGGCTGTGGGGAAGGTGGGTGTTGGGAGCAGGTACTGGCCTTGGCTGTGGGGAAGGTGGGTGTTGGGAGCAGGTACTGGCCTTGGCTGTGGGGAAGGTGGGTGTTGGGAGGCACAGGGAGTTGGGGTTGTGTGGCCCTCCCCAAAGAGGCTCTTCTCTTGGGCACAGGCCTACCCAGGGATCAGCTGGCCTGAAAGGGGCATTGGTCTGGGATGTGGTGAGTGGCCTGTGGCTGTTCTGAGTGTCACAGATGCCTCAATGGACATGGTTTCATCTGCACAGATGCCTGGCCTAATCCACTCCCCACCCCACCCTCTTACAGCTGGGATTTCCTCACTATGACTGCAGAGGACATGAGGGCACCCATGAGAGGGAGGAGCAGCCGGAGAGTTGGGCAGCAGCCCCTGGTGCATCTGGACCAGAGGGAGGGCATGAAGGAGCCTGGGGGTCCTTTGCAGAGGCAGAGGGACCAGATTCCCCTGTGAGGGTGTGGGTTGGGGAGGGGTGAGCTGCTGGGAGCCTAGGGGCGCATGAGGCTGCAGAGTGTGTGGGGGATGGGAGATTAGACGGAGTGAGGCACTGGGGAGCTGGGCAAGCTGGGGCCCCCCTCCCGTGCTGGGAAGAGGACTTCATGCAGCTAGGTGCTGCTGGGGGCTGAGGAGGGTGGGGGCCAAGCGTGCGTGAGGGTTGAGGCTGTGCGGCCCCCACACTCTGAGTGAGGCTGGCCTCTGACTTCTAGGTGACCCCATGAAGTTGGCTCACCCAGTTGACTCCCTGTGGCTCTCAGGGCCTAGGGTGGGGTTCCCAGAGGTGAGGGATGGGAGAGGCTTGCATAGAACCAAGCTTTCCTGGGGAGAGCAGGAGGGGCTGGCTGCACTCCAGGCCACTGGGACCTGGGGTTAGCAGGGGTGAGTGGTCCACGGGAGCAGCACAGCCTGTTGTCCATCTGCATGGGGTCTGTCCTTTGCCCCACCTCCCTGTGTACACACCCCAGGGGCAGAGGCAAGGGGGGGCTGTTCCTTCAGTGGAAGGCAGCTGAGCTGCCCTCTGGGGCCCTGGCTCCAGCGCCAGGACTCCTGCCCCAGTGCTCCTCCTGGCCATGGGTTTAGCTCTAGTCCCCCACCCAGAGTTGAGCTCCCCTTTGAGTCCTCAGGTCCTGCCAACCCACATCCCCACATCCCCTGCCGCCCTCCTCTTTCCCACCCCGGGTTGAGCTCTGCTGTGGCCCACAGGTCCCGCCCCCCGCCCCTATGACCAACATGAGCTGGAGCTTCCTGACGCGGCTGCTGGAGGAGATCCACCACCACTCCACGTTCGTGGGCAAGGTGTGGCTCACGGTGCTGGTGGTCTTCCGGATCGTGCTCACAGCCGTCGGAGGCGAGTCCATTTACTCGGATGAGCAGACCAAGTTCACCTGTAACACCAGGCAGCCGGGCTGCGACAATGTCTGCTATGACGCCTTCGCGCCCCTGTCCCACGTGCGCTTCTGGGTCTTCCAGATCGTGGTCATCTCCACGCCCTCGGTCATGTACCTGGGCTACGCCGTGCACCGCCTGGCCCGCGCTGCCAAGTACGAGCGCCGCCGTGCCCCGCGCCGCAAGCGCGGGCCCCGCGCGCCCCTACCGCTGCCCCCGTCGTCCCACCCCACCTGGCCCGAGCCCATCGACCTGGGAGAGGAGGAGCCCATGCTGAGCCTGGGAGAGGAAGAGGAGGAGCCGGGGGTGGCAGAAGGCCTGGGAGCGGAGGACGAGGTGGAGGATGCGAGCGCGGCCAAAGGCCTCGGTGCGGACGCCAAGGCGGTGGGGACCCCGAGCCCCAACGGGCCGCATGACGGGCGGAGGCGTATCCAGCGCGAGGGCCTGATGCGCGTGTACGTGGCCCAGCTGGTGGCGCGGGCCGCCTTCGAGGTGGCCTTCCTGGTGGGCCAGTACCTTCTGTACGGCTTTGAGGTGCCGCCTTTCTTCCCGTGCAGCCGCCGGCCCTGCCCGCACGTCGTCGACTGCTTCGTGTCGCGGCCCACGGAGAAGACGGTCTTCCTGCTGGTCATGTACGTGGTCAGCTGCCTCTGCCTGCTGCTGAACCTCTGCGAGATGGCGCACCTGGGCCTGGGCAGCGCCAAGGACGCCGTGCGCGCCCGGCGCCCTGCGCCCACCTCTCCCAGCCCCGCACCGCGCCCGCTGCCCTGCCCGCTGCCCACCGCCCCCGCCGGCCTGGCCTACCCGCCCGACTACAGTCTGGTGGTGCGCGCGCGCGCCCACGACCAAGACCCGCCCAGCCCCGCGCTGCGGACCTTGCGGGACGCGCGCGCGCTCGGGGACCGTGACCGCCCGCCCTGCCCCGGCCTCCCCGCGGCCACCCGGGGGCCCCCCAGGGCCGGCGCCTCCGCTTCCGGGTCAGGCAGTGCCACGTCGGGGGGCACGGGCGGGGACCAGGGCCGGCCGGGCGCCAAACCTAGGGCGGGCTCCGAGAAAGGCAGTGCCAGCAGCAGGGAGGGGAAGGCCACCGTCTGGATCTGAGGCCCCGCCCCAGTACTCGGCCCTCCCTTCACGCCGGCATCGGCTGGGGACTCTGGGATGAAGCTGGGTACTGGCCGCGCTGGACACAGAGCATTACCTGCCGTCTCCTCCTCCTCTTCCCCCCTCCTCCTTCTCCTCGACTGGCCGCCCTCTCCCTTGGGAAGGGCACCCTCTGCTCTGTAGCGCTACCCCTTCCCACCTGAACCCTCTCTCTGTCCGGGATAAGAGGGGAGGATGGACCTGGCAACCACAAGAGTCCCCAGTTCTGGTTCGTAAACCCTGAGGAGTGGGCTGGACTGTGGCTGGGGCACTGCCCCCGCCACCACCCCCATCGGCCCCTACAGAGCCACCTTGAGCCTTCCCCAGAGCCAATCCTTCCCTCAGAGCTTCTCTGGGACCCAGCCAGCGCCTCAGGACGTCTCTGAACAGAAGGTCCAGCCTCTTCCCTGCTCCCCTGCAGCAGCCCAGATATGACTCCCAGAGGTGTCTGGCCTGGGCGTTCGGGGTACAATGCTGTCCCCACTCCCTGCAGCAGCCAATGTGGCTCCTTTCCCAGCTACCCGCCTCCCGCCCACATGCTGCTTCCTGCAGAACAGAAGCAATTTTGAGTCTTCTTCCTACAGTAGGGGAAACCGAGGCAGCCCAGGGCTGCGCCTCCTTCCTCCTTGGCCCTCTGGGCACCAGCTCATAAGCTGCCGGTCCTCCTCCCCCGAGTGTGGGGCGGGCCTGCATCCTGCCCCGGGTCCCTGCCCAGACAGGTGGGGGCCACGCCCCCTAGAGCTTCATGGCTGTCTGGCTGGGGCCTTCCACTGGGAGGTCAGCCTGCCTTGCTACTGAGACCAACAGGGTGGTGGCCAAGATCTGCGGCTTTGGCCGTGTTGGGGGAAGGGGCTTAGGGCCTCCTGCCCAGGGCCTCCCAGCCCTGCAGCCCCTTCCTAATTCAGACACAGCCTCCCAAATAAAAATCTAACTTTTGTTTATAACTGTGTGATGTGTGATGGGTGTAAGCACGTGTATGTATGTATGTATGTGCATATGACATGTGTGCACATGTTCTGTGTACAAGCACATGCATGCATGTATCCGTGTGGTGTGTGCAAACATGTGTGCATGTCCATCACTGGCCTCCAGGTACACAGCTAAGCTCCAGGCTAGCCTGGAGAGCAGCTCCTGAGAGACACCCGGGGGCAGTTCAGTGCCAGGCAGCGGGCCAAGTGGGCTTTTCCAAGCAGACGGATGGTAAGAACAAAGAGCAGGCCAGGCCCAAACACTCAGAGTCAAGGTTGGCCTGTGGCTCAAGGGACAGGGGGGCACTGCTGTCTCCGGGGAACTTGGATGGCGGCCAGAACCTGCAAAGGTAGCTTTGGTGAGGAGCAGAGGTGGGCAAGGGAGGTGGGGAAATCAGCTGCTGTCTTCAAGGAGCCACCTTGGTCTAGACCAGGGGTGGGCAAACTTTTTGACTCGAGGGCCACAATGGGTTCTTAAACTGGACCGGAGGGCCGGAACAAAAGCATGGATGGAGTGTTTGTGTGAACTAATATAAATTCAAAGTAAACATCATTACATAAAAGGGGATGGTCTTTTTTTTTTTTTTTTCAGTTTTATTCATTTCAATCCGGCCTGATCCGGCCCACGGGCTGTAGTTTGCCCACGGCTGGTCTAGACTTCAGTGACCCCAGCTGTCTCCCAGCCTCCCTCAGGCCCAGCTCAGGTCCTGATAACCTCTCCTGGCTGAAAACCTCTCTTTGCTGCCTCCAGGGCCAAGCCCTGTTAACAAAAAACATTCAAATCTGTAAAGCAGTGGTTCTCAACCTTCTGGCCCTTTAAATACAGTTCCTCATGTTGTGACCCAACCATAAAATTATTTTCGTTGCTACTTCATAACTGTAATGTTGCTACTGTTATGAATCGTAGTGTAAATATCTGATCTGCAGGCTAGTCTTAGACGACCCCTGTGAAAGGGTCGTTCGACCGCCAAAGGGGTCTTAACCCACAGATTGAGAACCGCTGCTAGGATTTTTGTGAGTTTATTTGAGCCAAACTATCACCAATTGCTGGGAAGCAATCACAACGGATTGGGACAATGCTCCAGAGAATGGTGGTTTTTCACCTTGTTTTATATATTACATCAAAGGAGGAGACTTAAGTGGGTTACATGAAACCCATTGGTGATAGACTAGGCAGGTGGGAGGAAGCAAAGGGGTGGGGAAACCTCTGGGATTGGATAAAAAGTAAAATGATAGACACATACTTCTTTTGCTTAGTTAACAATTAACACGGTAACAATAACAATGAAGGAATTTGTGGTCTCTGTCCTGGCACTCACGGCGTGTGGCTGTGCTCTGAGGGGTCCAGAAAAAGGGAAGTTACAAGCTACTCTGAGATTTCAATGATATGTTAGCATAGATGCAAAAAGACAGTAAGCTCAGTTAAGGTAAAGATTGACCTTGTCAGGGAAGATACGGGCCTAGGCGGTAACTACCCATTATAAGCTGCTTTTAAAGTTTAATTTCAGACCATCCTTTGTGGTTACTTTAGGTCTTAGAGTTTGCAAGACTGTCATGCAGGCCTTCCTTGCCCTTGTCAGGTAGCATATGGCTCCTTTCGTCCACAGCTCCAAGTCAGGCTGAACCCTGGCCCTAACCACAGCCTGCGTTGGGTCAGATGCCAACTGTAAGCTGAGTCCCTCTTCTCTGCGGGGTCCGTCAGACTGTCTGAGTACCGCTCCTAGGTGCGCCCCTTCCTAGACAAGCTCTGCCCCCAGTGGCACCCCGTCTCCAGGCTGGGCCTTGCCCCTAGGTGAGCTGCACTTCCGGTGGAGACTGGCCTGCAGGAGCCCTGCTCTTACAGGAGCCCTCTCCCAGGGGAGCCCCGCCCCAGGAAGTCTTGGAGGGCGACTCCAATCTGGATCCAGAGCTCGACATACAGTTCACCTCTCCAAAAGAATTTGGTCCACAGAACTGGCAGTCTTGGACTTAGGACTGTGATCCTGGCTTTGCGGTCACCAGGGAGGCTAGGTCCATGGGGTTGGGCAGTGCTGCCCTGCCATACCTGGCCCTTACGGGTAGGAATGGGCACTGAGAGTGGCAAAGCTGGTGGCAATGGACATGCAAGAACGCCCGTGTGTGGGCACTCTCTCCAAGTCCCTCCATGCTTCCTTGTCAGTGCTCTTCAGCCAGGCCTCCTTTCTGGTAGAGGCCCTCAGGAGCTCAGAGAAATGGCATCTGGGTGGGGAACAGTGGAACTTGGGGTTCATAACAGCCCTAATGGCTGGAGAGGGCCAGCAAGGAATGCAGGCCTCTACTCCCGCAGGGACAGGAGCCTGGCCGGGGTCCTGAAGGTCAGTGTTCCACATCTGATGGTGAAAGGGTCTACAAGGGTGGGGAGTAGGGCACGGGCCCTACCATCTGAAAAGGAAGCCAAGCGGATAGGGGAGGCACTGGGCAGATTTGTGTTTGGGGGAGAACATTCTGGATTCGAACATTCTGGACAGGATGTCCAGACATTGGTCTTCTCCTGTCCTTGGACTTGGACTCAGGTCGGAACTTAGGCCACTGGCTCTCCTCAATCTTGAAGATGGCAGATCCCGGGACTTCTGAGCCTCCACAACTGCATGAGCCAATTCTTTGTAATACATCTTTCTCTATATATCACAAGTTGGTACTATTTCTCTGGAGAACACCAACTAATATACACCCCATCAGCCAGAGCTGGTTAAGGGCATCCTAGTTGAGAGGGAAGGTGCAAATGGAGGCTTTATTCTGGAACGTATCTCTCGGCTCAGGCTTCATAACAAATACCACAGACTGGGGGCTTAAACAGACATTTATTTCTCCCAGTCCTGTGAACAATGGGCCTTGAAAGGACCGACGCCATCCTGTCTCTCGCCCTCCATCTGAATCATAGGCACTCTATCTAGTTCCTGTAACCTCCATTTTGTAAGAACAGCCATTTAAAATTTTTCACTAAACACAGATGGTCCTTTGTTCTGTTAATTCCAGGAAGTAACTAAACCAGATAGCCTCCCTGATAGAAGTAACTCTGCTATTTCTAGCTTCTGTAAGCATGCTTGCTTGAATAATGGGAAAAATAAGACATTTTTGGGGAGGGACTAGCAATCTGAATCTGTGCCAGTAACCTAATGTATATTCTTATCAGCCTATAGCAGTGGTTCTCAACCTTCCTAATGCTGCAACCCTTTAATACAGTTCCTCATATTGTGGTGACCCCCAACCATAAAATTATTTTCGTTGCTACTTCATAACTGTAATTTTGCTACTGTTATGAATCGTAATGTAAATATCTGATATGCAGGATGTATTTTCATTGTTACAAATGAACATAATTAAAGCAAAGTGATTAATCACAAAAACAATATGTAATTATATATGTGTTTTCCGATGATCTTAGGCGACCCCTGTGAAAGGGTCGTTCAACCCCCAAAGGGGTCGAGACCCACAGGTTGAGAACCGCTGGCCTATAATCTAGTTACTGCCCCTTCTTAATTATCTGGTCCTGCAAGCCGCTCTGCCGGCATGGGAGTCTGGTCTGTCCTTGGTTCCTCCCATGCCAGGTGTCTTCTGGTTATCTGAGCTGTGCTCAAGGCTGCAAGCTTTCTACAGGATATCTGCTCAGCTAAGCACACTGTCCCCATCCCAGCACATGGGTTTTTTGCCTTTATAAGCTAACCCCTAAGTTCATTCGGGGCCGCAAGGTTTTGGAGAGACATTAGTGCTCTTGCTGCCGCCCGTGTTTGCAATAAAGACTCCAAATTTGGCCCTCTGACTGTGGCGTCTTCTGTTTAGCTCACTGAATTTCCAATATGACACCTGGAGGCTGCAAGTCCAGGATCCAGGTGTGGGCAGGGCTGGTTCCCTGAAGGCCTCTGTCCTTGGTGTGTAGATGGCCATCTCCTCCTGTGTCCTCACATAGCCGTACCTCTGTCTGCATCTGTGTTCTAATGTCATCCTCTTTTTTTAAAAAATATATTTTATTGATTTCTTTTTTTTTACAGAGAGGAAGAGAGAGGGATAGAGAGTTAGAGAGAAACATCGATCAGCTGCCTCCTGCACACCCCCCACTGGCTGTCCCAGGCCTAACCTAAGGAGCCAATCTGGGTGTCATCCATGGTCCCATCTCTAAGACCAATTCCTTGATGCTGTGACACAATCACCATCTCATGCCTGAGCTGATACCTTAACGTGGTTGGCCATCTCTCACTCAGACATGGTGTCTGAGATGCTCAAAAGTCCGTTAACTTCAAGAGGTGGAGCCTTGAAAGGACTGATCCATCCTGGTTATCTGAGCTGTGCTCAAGGCTGCAAGCTTTCTATGGGATATCCAACCATTGAACATGCCCTTTGTGCTCACTTAGCTACTTAAAACAAACAAACAAACAAACCACAAAAATCCCTCTCCGTGTCCTTGTCAACCTGGGATGGCCATGAGGATGAAGGGCTGAATCTGGGCATAGAACTGTCCCCCTGCCTATCCCTGTCTTCCCACCTGGCTCAGGAGCAGGCCAGTGGGGTAAGCCTCTGTGCCTGGTGGGGTCTCTGGTATCAGCTCAGGCATGAGATGGTGGTTGTATCACCTGGACTCTTCCCCACAGAGATCACAGCCCCACACTCCCCTCCAAGTTCATCAGAGTTAGCTCTGTCCCATCTCTGGCCTCCCACCTCTGTCCCCTCCCCTAGCAGACCCCCCAAGAGCACACAACTTGCCCCCACCTCAAGACTGGGCCCAGTCCTAGCCGGCTTGGCTCAGTGGCTAGGGCATCAGCCTGCGGACTGAAGGGTCCAGGGTTTGATTCCGGTCAAGGGCACATGCCCGGGTTGCGGGCTCGATCCTCAGTAGGGGGCCTGCAAGGAGGCAGCCGATCAATGATTCTCTCTCATCATTGATGTTTCTATGTCTCCCTTCCTCTCTGAAATCAATAAAAATACATTTAAAAAGAGATATTAACAATGTAGAGTTAAAAAAAAAAAAAAGATTGGGCCCAGATACCACCTCCCGGCAAAGCTGCTCTAACCATCTATGAATGCATTTCTCCAACTTTCTATTTGAAATATTTAACTTACAGAAATTGTGAATCATAAAATAAACTGTACCACCCTTCACCTAGATTCACCAATTGTCAACGTTTTGCCCTGTCTGTCTGTCTGCTATGTCCTTGCTGGTCTTCTGCTCACACAGTTCCCACTTGTGGGGCTGGCCCCTTCTGGGGTCTGTGCTCCCCAAACTCTGATTTCCCAGCTGGGCCAAGTGCGTGGTGAGGGGCACAAGCAGCATGCCCAGAACCCCCAGACCCTCCATCCCGCCCAGCTGGCTTCCTGGCTGTGACCAGTCAGACCTGGTATGTGGCTCCCCTGACCACTGGCCCTTCGTGGAGGTCTTCCTCTGCCACCGGGCATTCCAAAGGTGACCCAGCAGCTCCCTGCCAGCCCCTGAGGACAACACGGGGTGGGGGCACATTCCTCCAGCCTCACGTCAGCCTGTACCCCAGCCAGCAGAGAAAACTGCTTCCCACTGGCCCTGCTGCAGGAAGGGCCAGCAGGCAACCTGGGGCCACCTGGAATCTTCCTGACATCCCAGTCAAGGCTAAGCCCAGTCTGCTTCACTACCTGGGCTGTTTAAATGCAAATTAACTAAAAAATGTCAAATGAACATTCCAGTTTCTCCCCACTTGGCAATGCCTCAGTGAATGGAACAGACAGCACCTCCCACCATCCTGGAGTCTGCCAGCCAGCGCTGCTCCCGGGCCCCTCCTCCAGCAAGCCTTCCTGGGTCTCTGCTGTAGCCTGTCCATCCTCACACTAGGGACCCTGGCATATGAGCACCACCCAACTGCTGCCCCTTCTCAGTCCCCATTGCTTCTTCTCATGCCACAGCTCTGGAAGGAGCTGTGGCCAGGCCTCAGGAGGTTCCCAAGAGCTGGGGCTGCAGCCAGATGCAAATGTGCGCTCTCCTGCCTCTGAGGCCACAGGACTGGAGTCATCAGGAGGGGTGGGGAGCTAAGAGCTGGGAAATGGCGGGTGTGGGGGTCTGACCCCACTTCCCAGATGCTGCTGAGCCAGGGGTGGTTTCCTGTTATTCTCTCCTCATGGCCTCCTCCCTTCCCAAAGGCAGGATAAGGAAGTTGCCCTGTTCTGGGGGTGTCAGAGCACCCCCTCCCTGCAGTCTCCCTGAGTAGCCGGGGAGCTGGCTCCAGCCATGGAAACGGATGAGGATGAGACGAGGCCATTCCATCTGATCCTGCCCCAGGGAAGGAAGAGGTGCTGGAGACAGAATCAATGGCCAATGAGCAGTGATTCAATCAATTTGTGCCTGTGTGAGGAAGGCTCCGTCAACTTCATCAGGGGTTTGGAGAGCTTCTGGGTTGGTGGAAGTGTGGAGATGCAGGGAGAGCAGTGGGCACAGAAAGCATGGAAGCCCCATACCCTGCCCTGCGCATCTTCCATCTGGATGTTCTGAATTATCTTATCTAATAAAGAGGGAATATGCAAATTGACTGTCACGCCATAATGGTCAAGATGGCTATGCCCACAGTGGAGGCAGGGATTCTATAATACAAGATGGCTGCACACACAGCGGAGGCTGAGTTCCTGTAATGAGCCTTAAAGAGCAATCAGTAGGGACCTGAGGCTGTGTGGCGCTGGGCTGGGGCAGGAGACCTGAGGCTGCACCCCCCCGCCTGGCAGGGCTTGATGAGGGACCTCAGGCTGCGCCCCTGCCCCGGGCTGGAGGACCTGAGGCCATGTTCCCTGCCCTGGCGCCAGGCCGGGGGACCTGAGGCCATGCCCCCCATCATGTGGGGCTTGCCAGGGGACCTCTAGGCATGCCCCCTGCCCTGGCCAGGGGACCTCAGACTGCTACCCCTGCCCCGGTGCCAGGCCAGGGGACCTGAGGCCATGCCCCCCATCATGTGGGGCTTGCCAGGGGACCTCTAGGCATGCCCCCTGCCCTGGCCGGAGGACCTGAGGCTGCACCCCCTGCCTAGCAGGGCTTGACGGGGGGCCTCAGGCCGGCCCCCCCGCCCCCCCCCCCCCCCCCCGCCCTGGCAGGGCTTGATGGGGGTGGGGCTGGCCAGGTCTGGATCTAGCCCAATGGGGGTGGGGCCGGCTGGGTCTGGGTCTCACGTGATTTCTAGGTGCACGTGGGAGGGCGGGGACTTGACTCTGGTTCCCTTGGCATGCCCCAGACTCTGTCAGGATGAAGATTTTCATATACATTTTACTAATTTTCTTTCATCTCTGACACTTCTATTATAGAGAAAGGGCAAATAGCAATATTAAAATATTTCCTCTAATTAATACTCTTTTAATGTGCACGAATTTCATGCACCAGGTCACTAATATTCTTTATAATAAGCTGGCAATAGTAAGTCATGTTCCTCTGAATTCTGTGAGCCACTCCAGCAAATTAATGGAACCCAAGGACAGGGTTGTGGGAGCCACAAACTAGAGGCTCTGGTTCTTCACCTGTGGGACACCCAGCTGAATTGCTTGCGGTGTGGACCTCCTGCGCGCGTGCATCTTTGGTGATCAGAGTATTATAAGTGAAAGGAGTGTGAGCGTAAACAACACACAGGATGGATTTTCATGCACAAAGCCAAGAGCGGAGTCATAGGAGGTATCCCCACACCCATGTCTATGCAGCACATTCACAACAGCCACGGGGTGGAAGCACCCCAAGTGTCCAGCAACGAGGCAGGTAAACAAAATGTAAGGGGATGTTATTCAGCCGTAAAAAGGAAGGAAATGCTGACACACTGTGGATAAGCCTGGAGGACATCGTTCACAGTGGCATCAGCAATTCCTCTCATATGAGTCCCCAGAGAAGTCAGGTTCACAGAGAGAGTGGAGGGGAGCAGGGGGATGCCAGCGGGTGAGGAGAGGGGGACTGGAGTTTGATGGGTATGGTGTTTCAATGTGGGAAGATGAGAAAGTGCTGGATGGAGGGGATGGCTGCACAACACTGGGGATGCGCTTAATGCTCCTGAACTGTGCACCTGAAAAGCGCTGAGGCGGCAGTAAGCAAGCAGAAACTGCTCAGACAATCCATGGCAGGCCAGGGCAGGCGCGCCGGGCCTGGAACAGGATCCAACCCCGCGGGCAGGGCGGGGCGTGGGGCTGACGACCAGCCCGAGGCTCCGCCCCATCCACGTGCCCGCACTTGTTCCGCCGGCCGCCGGGGGCCGCTGTGGAACCCACCGTGGCCGGGTCGCTCCTTCCCGCCGCCGTGCTCGTGCCCAAGATGGCGGCCGCGGCGCTGTTCCGGGGCGCGGCTTCAGGGTGTGGGGGACCTGCCTGGCGCTGGCGGCTGCGCGCGATCTCAAGGCACCGCCTGGCCTCTGGCTCGGGCGGCCACGGCAGCGACTCCGCTGACGGCGCGGCCTGGGCCTGCTTCCCGCTGGGCGAACGCGCCCTGGTGCGCGTGCGCGGGCCGGACTCGGCCCCATTCCTCCTGGGGCTGCTGACCAATGACCTGCCGCTTCCGGCTCCTGCGGACGGTGCGGCCTCGCCCCCCGCGCGTGCGGGCTACGCCCACTTTCTCAACGTCCAGGGACGCACGCTGTATGACGTCATTCTCTATGGGTGAGAGCGGATTGTGGGGAGAAGGGGAGCCAGGGGAGGCGCACCTTGGGGGAAAGTGGGGAGTCAGAGGGAAGAGGACCACCCCACGAGTGGTCGGGAGCTGGGAGGAGGGGCATTTATGGGAAGGGCACCGGAAGATGGGAGGTAGCCTGGGGAGGGCTTCCGGCAAGGCTTCCGTAGGTGGGCGGGAGGGGCCGAGGGGCGGGGCGGGCCGGCTCTGGTGGTGGTGTTTGCTGGGTGCCCCCGCACCTGCCCTTCGCTCCGCTTCAGTCTTGCCCTGGTCGCCCTGTCTTCATGGCCCGGGAAAGGGAGCCACGACTGCAGGGAGTTGCTTCTGCGTGAGCGGCTTGTGCCACGACTTTCCGAGTTCTGGGTGTCCTCCGCATTTCCCTCCCAAGTCTCCCTGTATCCAGGGAGAGCCGTGTTTGGTGTTTTACATCCATCTGGCGACATTCCCATGACCCACGTGCCGGTCGTGGGACCGCCCACCAGCGCACTTCCAGTGTGTGGGAGCCCCGCCGGGCGGGCCCGCAGCCTGGGACGCGCTGCCCGCTCGCTGTGGGCGGCCGCCTCTTTCTCACTGGACTCGCAGGAGCTGGTTCTAGAGTAGCTTGTTGAGAGGTGGATGCTTCGGGTGACTTGGACTCGTTATAGCTCTGCAAGTGGTCTTACCTGCTGGTTTGCCTGGAATAAAACCCCAGGAGCAGAATTGTCACTGAGAATTGTGAAACCATGGCCCGTCTTCCTGAGCTGGTGTTTCTGTTGGGAAGCTTCACGCCTTCTTGTTTTGGGGCCCTGCAAGCTTGTAGAGCAAGCATGTCAAACTTGCGGCCCACAACGAATATTTTTGCGGCCCAGCCAATATAACGGTATGTAGGAAACATTTTAATAAAAACTTCGTAACTTAATTTTTACAATATTCAGTTGTACGTAATTATTAATAACGAACTACAACGTTCACTAATGACTGATTACTATAATCTTGTTGCATTCATTTCCCTTAAGCACCTTATGCGCAGGCGCACCATTTCTCTCCACTAATACTAGCAGCGAATATTTTAGTAGCCCATTGCCACATCATTAGTCTTGTACTGACTTGTTTGGTGTGCGCAACAGGAAATATTTCGCTTTCCGAGAACAAGAAAAATAGGTTTATTTGCGTTACGCTTATTAATTTGTGCAGTTATTCAGTGTCGTAATTTAATGTTCAAGAAAAATATTAATTTTTATTAAAATGTTATATTTATGTTAACAATGACTCATTTATTTCAGCCCTTTGTATTCAGCAGGTCTCTATCGAAATAAACCTATGTTTCTATGAAAATTGAAGCTTTGGTTTTTTTGCGGCCCACATAAACTTAAACCTTGTTTATTTGGCCCGTGTTAGCCTTTGAGTTTGACATGCTTGTTGTAGAGGCTCTTCATCTGATGATTATTTTGGGTCTTCTTTCCTGTGGTGTTGCCAGAAGCTTGGTGGGTGCTGTGGCAGTGAATGCGTCAGTAGGTATGCCCTGCAGGCAGTCACCGCCTGCTTTCCTATGTTAGTGGATGCTGCCATGCCCATTTGTTTGCATACTGTCTGGGGCTACTATGCCCTGGGTCCAATAGATTTGTGATAGACGCCCAAGCCCACATTGTTTATTATCTGGCCTTCTACAGAAAACATTTGCCACCCCTGTTGTGTTCCATTCAGAGATGCCATCATCTTTGTCTCACATATCTTACTACATTCCTCTGATTGCTTTAATTTGCTTATGTTAGAACTTGCAAGGTTTTTTTTTTTAATTATCTTGAGCCCTCTATCAGTAATTTTCAGTAACATCTATTTCAGTCATTACTCTTTAATTTATCAGCATTGTAATGATGTGTTTTTTCTAAAAAAAACTTTTTTATTGATTTCAGAGAGGAAGGAAGAGGGAGAGAGAGATAGAAACATCAGTGATGAGAGAGAATCTTTGATTGGCTGCCAGCTGCATGCCCCCTACTGGGGATCGAACCCAAAACCCAGGCATGTGCCCTTGACTGGAATGGAACCAGGGATCCTTTAATCCACAGGGCGATGCTCTATTCACTGAGCCAAACTGGCTTGGGTTGCAATGATGTTTTGATTCTCAAATTTTGTTGCTGTGTCTGCCATCTGCCTTTACATCCTTTTGCCTTTGTGTTCTTTTTATGAGTTTATATTCTTGTTAGAGGCCTGGTGCACGAAATTTGTGCACTGGTAGGGTCCCTAGGCCTAGCCAGCAATCAGGGCCGATCGGGGCCTTCCTTCCCCTGGCTGCCAACTGCTGGCCAGGGCCTTCCTTTGTTTCACACTGCCCCCTGGTGGTCAGCACACGTCATAGCAAGCGGTCAAACTGCCGGTCAGTCGAACTCTGACGGGGACAATTTGCATATTAGCCTTTATTATATAGGATAAGTTGCTCTATGGTGTAAAGCAGTTTCTTAGTTTTTCTTTCTTCATACTTTCCCTGTAGCCTGGAAGGTCATTGCCTAGCTGCTGTGCCGGTAGGTCTTGTCCCAGATATCAAATTTGTGATAGCAGATTTGGCATCTCTTTCTGGATGTTGCTTGTGCCCTGATTTGACCTGGAGAAAAATTAGTTTTTCTCTCCCAGCTAATTCCTGAGAATGGGATATCGCTTACTGTTTGGTGTGCTAAGGGAATTGAGGGCCACTGTAATGATACTTCCTGACCCTCGTTTAGAATGGGTCTTCATTCCATCAAAGACACCAGAGAGGTAATGTGTTGGTTCCCCTCAGCAGTGGAGGGAAGGGGGCATGTGGACATGCCCCGTTCCTTGGATGGGTGCTCCTGGAACTGGGGGGTTGGTGGGTGATGTCCAGATTCATCTTCAAGTTCTCTTCTGTGATGTGAGGCTTTGGGGCCAGAGTCCACTCTCCTGCCCCGCCTGATATCTCTTTTCTGGCCTAACCCCTCTCGTTAGTTCATGGGCTTAATTCATATGCTTCTTCCCACCTGGTTGCTGTTGGCCATTTACCTATGTCTGATCTCTTTGGGAAGAGAGCAACATTGGGTTTGACTGCCTCCTTGGAGGCCCATGTGCCTTTCTGCTTTCTCTGTGTTAGCTCCCTACCTGCTGTTTTCTCTGCATCTCTCTCTCTCTCTCTCTCTGGAATTTTTCATTTTAACTCTCACGCTTCTAATTTCCCATCCTTGAGTCATTTCTCAGAGCACCCTGTTGTGTCTTGGGTGCAGCAACTTCTCTCAGGTGTAGCTTTTTGTTTATAAAGTAGATTTTACTTAGGTCAACCTTAAAAATAAAATAGCCTGTTATTTTACCAGCATAATGAGTTTATTCGGGAATAGCAGAGGTATTGCAACTGGGGACATGCAAACCATGGTGAAACCATACACAAGTCTAGAGAGAAGAGCTACTTTTATTTTATTAAATACTAGAGGCCCGGTGCACAAAAATTTGTGCACTCGTGGGTAGGGGGTCCCTCAGCCCGGCCTGTGCCCTCTCGCAGTCTGGGACCCCTCGGGGGTGACCACTTGCTGGCTTAGGCCTGCTCCCTGGGGGATTGGGCCTAAGATGGCAATCAGACATCCCTCTGGCAGCCCGGCAGTCCTCGGGGGATGCCCACTTGCCAGTAGGGAGCAGACCTAAGCTGCAGTCGGACATCCTTGGCGCTGCTGAGGAGGCAGGAGAGGCTCCCACCACCACTCCTGTACTGGCAGCCATCAGCCTGGCTTGTGGCTGAGCAGAGCTCCTTCCACGTGAGAACGACCTGACCACCAGAGGGCAGCTCCTGCATTGGGAGTCTGCCCCCTGGTGGTCAGTGTGTGTCATAGTGACCAGTCATTCCCAGTCTTTCTGCTGTTAGGGTCAGCTTGCATATTATCCTTTTACTATATAGAATAGAGGCCTGGTGCACGGGTGGGGGCCGGCTGGCTTGCCCTGAAGGGTGATCCGGATCAGGGCGGGGGTCCCTCTTGGGTGCCTGGCCAGCCTGGATGACAGGCTGATGGCTGTTTGCAGCTGGTCACACCCCCTTCAGGGTGGGGGTCCCCACTGGGGTGCCTGGCCAGTCTGGGTGAGGGGCTGAGGGCTGTTTTCAGGCTGGTGGGCAACTGAAGCTCCCAGCCTCTTTTTTTAAATTTTTTTAAAATTTATTTTATTCTGGAATTTATTTACCTTCTATAGCTGTCACTGGAGCTGAGAGCCGGCTCCAGCTCTGAGGCCATGGCTGGCTGAAAGCAGGTATCTGAGTTTGTATAGCTTCTATAATTGAAACTCTGTTGCCATCACTGGTGCTTTAAGCTCTGAGCCCGCTGGAGGCTGAAAGCAGGTCTCTGGGTTTGTTTAGCTTCTATAATTGCAACATTGTTGCATCTGGAGGTCAGAGCTGGGCTGCGGCAGGCGGGGAACCTTGGCTTCCTCCATCACTGGAGCAAGCAAGCCTCCTGTTCGCTTCAGCTGCCTGGCTGCCGGCCGCCATCTTGGTTGGCAGTTAATTTGCATATCTCACTGATTAGCCAATGGGAAGGGTAGCGAAGTTACGGTTAATTACCATGTTTGTCTATTATTAGATAGGATATTTTTATTGATTTCAGAGAGGAAGGGAGAGGGAGAGATAGCAACATCAATGATGAGAGAGAATTATTGGTTGGCTGCCTCCTGTACACCCCACACTGGGGATCAGCCTGCAACCTGGGCATGTGCCCTGACCAGGAATCGAACCCTGACCTCCTGGTTCATAGGTTGACGCTTAACCACTGAGCCATGCCAGCAGAGGAAAGAAGGGCGTTGGCAGGGGTTGTTGTTCATTGGAGGAGAGCAAGAGTTCTGGGTGGTGGTAGCTTCTCATTGGCTGAATGTGGTGATTCTGTTGCTAGGCAGAGAAAAATCTTTCTTCTTCCTGCAGGAGTCTGCAAAAGGCAGTGAGTGGAATTCATGAGAACTTATGCTTAAAGGCTTCCTGACCATGATTTTTTTTTTTAATATGTTTTATTGATTTTTTACAGAGAGGAAGGGAGAGGGATAGAGAGTTAGAAACATCGATCAGCTGTTTCCTGCACACCCCCTACTGGGGATGTGCCCGCAACCAAGGTACATGCCCTTGACTGGAATCGAACCTGGGACCTTTCAGTCCGCAGGCCGACGCTCTATCCACTGAGCCAAACCGGTTACGGCTTCTTGACTGTGATTTTAATGAGGTGTTTCTTTATTCACTTATACACGTTTAGAGCAGTTTTAACAAAATTGAAGGGAAGGTACAGAGATTTCCCATCCACACATAGTATGGGAAATCTCCACTGCCAGCGTGGTGCATTTGTTACATATGATGAACCCATATGGACCAGCATCCATTGTTTACATTAGTAGGTTCAGTCTTGGTGTTGTGCATTTTGTGGGTTTGGACAAATGGATAATGACATGTATCCAGCACTGCAGTATCGTAGAGTAGCTTCACTGCCTGAAAATCACCTGTGCTCCCACAATTCATCCCTCCCCTCCACCAACCCCTGGCAACCACTGATCTTTTTACTGCCTCCTAGTTTTTGCCTTTCCCAGAACGTCAGATAGTTGGATTGTATAGTATGTGGTTGCCTCTGATTGGCTCCTTTCATTTAGTAATACATATTTAAGTTTCCTCCATATCTTTTTTTAAAATATATTTTTATTGATTTCAGAGAGGAAAAGATAGAAACATCAATGATGAGAGGGAATCATGGGTTGGCTGTCTCCTGCACGTCCCCTACTGGGGATTGAGCCCACAACCTGGGCATGTGCCCCTGACCAGAATTGAACTTTGGCCCCTTCAGTCCACAGGCCAACGCTGAGCCAAACCAGCTAGGGCTCCTCCATATTTTGATGGCTTGTGATAGCTGATTTCTTTGTAGTGCCGAATAATATTGGTTGTAGCATAGTTTATTTATTTGTTCACTTACTAAAGGACATCTTGGTTGCTCCCAAGTTTTGGCAATCCTATATAATAAAAGTGAACTCTCGGCTGGGAGTTTGGGAGTTCGACCAGGGGGGCAAGGCCGGCCAGGGGAAGGGAGCGAGGCTTGGCCGGTGGCCGGCAGCCACTAGGGACCCAAAGTTCATGCACTGGGCCTCTAGTTATGAATAAAGCTGCTGTAAACATCTGTGTGCAGGTTTGTGTGTCGACATGTTTTCAACCCTGAGTTAATACCAAGGAGCATATGTTTAGTTTTGTAAGAAACCTTCCAATGTGGATGCACCATTTTGCATTCCCACCAGCTCCTGTTGCCCTGTATCCTCACCCATGTTTGATGATGTCAGTGTTCTGGATGTTGACCATGCTAGTAGGTGTGTATTTGTGTTTCCCTGAGGTCATATGATGTGGAGCATCTTTTCATGGCTCATTTGCCTTCTGTGTACATCTTCTTTGGTGAGGTATCTGTTAAGGTCTTTTGGCCCATTTTTAAATTAGGTTGTTTGTTTTCTTATTGTTGGTTTTTAACTTTTTTTGTGGGTTTTGGATGACAGTTCTTTGTAAGAGGAGACTTTTAAAATATTTTATTTCACTCCGAAACCGGTTTGGCTCAGTGGATAGAGCGTCAGCCTGCGGACTGAAAGGTCCCAGGTTCGATTCCGGTCAAGGGCATGTACCTGGGTTGCGGGCACATCCCCAGTAGGAGATGTGCAGGAGGCAGCTGATCGATGTTTCTCTCTCATCGATGTTTCTAGCTCTCTATCTCTCTCCCTTCCTCTCTGTAAAAAAATGAATAAAAAAAAAATTTATTTCAGTCTGTGGCCTGTCTCCTATTTCCTCTGAAGAGATTGTATTTGTTGTTGTTCTTAATTCTCACCCAAGGATTTTTTTTCCATTGATTTTTTTAGAGAGGAAGGGGGGGAAGAAAGAGGAGAGAGAAGCATTGATGTGAGAGAGACACATCAATTGGTTGCCACCCACATACTCCTCGACTAGTACTGGGGATGGAACCTGCAACCCAGGTATGTGCTCTCGACCAGAACCAAACCCACAACCCTTCAGTGTGCAGGCCAGTACTCTTACCACTGAGCCACACTGGCCAGGGCTTAAATATGTTTTTATTTATTTTTTAGAGAGAGAAGAAGGGAGAGGGAGACAACGAAACGTCAGTGAAAGAGAGAAACATCAATTAGCTGTCTCCTGCCCCCCCCCCCCCCAACTAGGGATTGAGCCCACAACCTGGGCATGTGCCCTAACCAAGAATTGATGGTGAACTCTCCATGCATGGGATGATGCTCAACTAACTGAGCCACATCAGCTAGGGCAAGGCTTGTAGTTTTTGAAGGTCTTTTCTCATTCCGACCACATGTGTGTTTCCTGGGCCTCCCACTTCTTGGTGGAGACCTTTCTCACCTGATGGCTGCTGAGGAGATGCTCCTGGCTCTGGTTCCAGCTGTGCTGCTTTGGTGGTACACTCTCATATCTGTATGCTAGTCTTTGGGGGGTGTTTTGCCTGGGCTGCCACTAGGGTTCAGATGGTCCCCCACTTCCTTGTTTCCACTCATGATGTCTCTACCTCTACCTAAGATTTTATTTATTTATTTATTTGTGTATTTTTAAATATTTTTTTTAATTGATTTCAGAGAGGAAGGGAGAGGGAGAGCGAGATTGAAACATCAATGATGAGAGAGAATCATTGACTGGCTGCCTCCTGCATGCCCCCTACTGGGGATTGAGCCCACAACCCAGGCATGTGCCCTTAACTGGAATTGAACCTGGGACCCTTCATTCTGCAAGCTGACGCTCTACCCACTGAGCCAAACCAACTAGGCTACCCAAGATTTTAAAAGTAAAAATATACCTGCACATGGTTAAAAAAAACTTAAGAATGTTAAAAGGCTTTTGGAAAATGACTGTCAACATTCAGGTAAGATACATTCAAACCTGTGAAGCATTTTTGTGAGTTTATTTGCGCCTAACTGTTGACAATTGCCAGGAAGCAAAATCTCAGCGGATGAAGGATCGAGATAATGCTCCAGAGAATGGTAGTTTTGCACCTTATTTTATATTACACTCAAAAGAGAAGACATAAGTGGATTACATGAAATCCATTGGTGATAGATTAGGGAGGTGGGAGAAAGCAAAGTGGGGAAACCTCTGGGATTGGATAAAAAGTAAAATGATAGACACATACTTCTTTTACTTTGATGGGTGCAGGATAGTTAACAGTCAACAATTAACTCAGTGACAGTGAGGGGATCTGTGGTCTCCACAGAGCAGTACTTGTACTTTGAGGGGTCTGGAAAAAAAGGAAAATTACTTTGACATTCTAATGATACTAGAGGCCCAATGCACGAAATTCATGCAAGGGGCTTGACCCTTGCAGCCCCGGCTTCATCATTTGGAAGGACATCTGGAAGGTCGTTCGGCTATCTGGTCTAATTAGCATATTATGCTTTTATTATTATAGATGTTATCATAGATGCAAAAAGACAATAGACAGGCTCAGTTAAGGTAAAGATTGACCTTTGTCAGGGAAGATATGGCCTAGGACATGATTTCTCACCATAAAGTGCTTTTAGTTAAGTTTAATTTCAGATTATCCTTTATGGTTACTTTAGGTCCCTGAATTAGCAAGGTCACCATGCAGACCTCTTCTGAGCTTGTTAGGTTAGCATGTGGCCCCTTTTCGTCCACAACTGTCTGCTGCCTTCCTGCTCACCCACATGGATCTACCCTCCCCAGAAGCAGCTCCTTTTTTTTTTTTTTAAATATATATTTTATTGATTTTTTACAGAGAAGAAGGGAGAGGGACAGAAAGTCAGAAACATCGATGAGAGAGATCGATCAGCTGCCTCCTGCACGCCCCCCAGTGGTGACGTGCCCGCAACCAAGGTACATGCCCCTGACCGGAATCGAACCCGGGACCCTTGAGTCCACAGGCCAACGCTCTAGCCACTGAGCCAAACCGGTTTGGCGAAGCAGCTCCTTTTTAAGAAACTTTTTATTTTGATGTAATTATAGATTCACACAGTGGCAAAAACAATGTACAGGGAGGTCCCATGCCTTGTAACCAGTTCCCTAAATGGCAGCATCTTGCCTGCTGTGTCCAGGGGAAGGACATGGGCCATCCATGGAGAGCTCAGGTTCTGAGTGCTTGAGCGTGTATGAGTACGGGTCTCTGTGATTTGACCATGCATGGATACCCATGTGACCTTGAACAAGATGGAGCTACTCTATCATCACTAGGCTCCCTCCTCCTTGCCACCCCCTCAGCCCTATAGCCCCTTCCCCGTTCTCCCTCCATCTCTGTGATTATGGCATTATAGGAATGTTGTACAAATGGTCACTGCCCATAACGTCCTTCATCTCCATCTAGCTGGGGTCAGTGGTCCATTCTGCTTCCTTGCTGAGAAGTATTCCATCGAGGGGATGAACCACAGTCTGTTTAACTTTTCTCCCACTGAAGGGCAGTTTGGTGTCACTTTTTGGCTATTATGGATAAAACTGCTACTAACATTCGTGTATAGGTTCTTATGTGAACACAAGTTTCCATTTCTCGGGTAAGTGCCCAGGAGCAGTGGCAGCTGATGGCAGTGCTCAGGTGGTAGTTGATGTTTAGTTTTATAAGGACCTATAAACCTTTTCTGGAGCTGCTGTCCTTACATTCCCACCGGCAACACTCAGTGGTCAGCTTCTTACATCATCACCAGCACGGGGTGGCACTGTGTTTATTTTAGCCCTTCTGATCGCCTAGTGCTGACCCTGCTGGATTTAGTGGTTTGTTGTTTGTTTTGAGAGAGAGAGAGAGAGATTTGTTTCACTTATTATACATTCATTGGTTGATTCTTATATGTGCCCTGACCAGGGATCGAACCCACAACCTTGGTGTATCCAGAGATGCTCTAATTAACTGACCCACCCAGCCAGGGCCTGTCACTGCTGGTTTTGATTTGTGTTTGTGTCTGAGGAGTGACACTGAACTTCTTTTCCTGTTCTTATTTGTGTCAACTTCTCTGAACTCTTCTTGCTGTTTCTTCCGGCTGCTCAGCTGACCTCATTTTTGACATTCTGTGAGGACATTTGGAAAGTGAGGGGTCAGCTGACTTGCTGTGGCAGGTCCTCTCCCACCCTCCTCACCCTGTTACTCTGTTCCTAGTGGCCCTGTGGCACCTGGTTATGTGAGACGTGTGTATGGACACTACAAGGTGTGTGCATAGGGGGAGTCCACTGAGATCTGGCGACCAGTTGGTAGGCTCCGGGTGAGGGTTGGGCACCAGATGATGGCCTTTGACTCTTTTCCCTGCTCCCGTCTTAGCTGCCACCATTCTGGGACTTTGCTCAATCCACATCTGCAACCCGGACCCCAGCTGTGCCTGGATGGCTCCACCTAGCCCCACTGTCCCCCAGCCCCACATGTCCAGTGCTGCACTAGCCTCTCCTCTGTGCTGCTTTATCTGAAGGAGCCGAACCATCCATCTGGTCAGCACATCAGAATCCTGGGGGCATTTTTGTGGATGTGGGCTGCCTGGAGTGTGGGTTAGATGGTTCTCGGGCTTGCCTTGGGAAAGTGGGAGGTGGTGTGGTTAGGTATGGCCTCACCGTTCCAGAGGGCCCCCTATCCAACCCAGCCTTAGGACCCTGGCTTATTGGTGGCTTCTGGGGCTAGAGGAGGCAGATCTGTCCTTAGGGTGGGCATCAGCACCTTTCTGCCTCACCTTGAGTGTCAAGACACAATCTGCTGGCCCTTGGCATGTGCATGTCTGTGCCAGTGGCCTGGGTGGGAGGGATGTGGAGGGGTCCTGTGGTGGCTGTGGGGTCTCCTGTGTGCACTGCACTGCACAGTGGGACCAGAGGATTGGGGGTCCGTGGCTGGGTTCTGCGTGCTGTTTCCACATTGTGATGCCCTGTGGGCCCACCCCCGCACTGTTATTGGTGGAAGTGGGGTTCTTTTTTAAATTTTTTAAAATTGATTTTAGAGAGAGAGATAGAAACATCAATGAAAGAGAAACATCAATCGGCTGCCCCCTGCACACCCCCCCAACATGGGATGGAGCCCACAACCCGGGCATGTGCCCTGACTGGGAATTGCACTGGTGACCTCTTGGTGCATGGGTCAGTGCTCAACCACTGAGCCACACTAGCCGGACAGGAAGTGGGGTTCTTAGGGTACTGCTGGATGCCCCCAAAGGAAGATGAGATATGGTAGAAAGCTTTATTTCTGTAGAATTACATCCCTAGGTTTCCAAAGTCCCATTTCCCTTCCTCCACTCATGGAAGTGTAGCTGGGGTTTCAGTAAAACTGGAAGCAAAGCCAGTGTCCAGAGTGCCTTTCGCATCATGCTGGAGCTGGTGCAATTCAGCAGCAGGCTAGTTACAGTCCATTAACCCATTGTGTGTGGGTCCACATGGCCATGGGCCCTGGGGTCAAATACAAGGAAGCAGGAGCAAAAGAGCCCCACATGCCAAGTCCCAAGAGAGGGGATTATGTGTTCCAAATCCCTGCACCCCCTTACCATGGCCACACCCATCCTGGCCAATGACTTCTTCTCCCAGGTGGGATTGACAGGGAGAACCTTCCCTGTCACCCCAACTTTACAGGGCATGCGTCTATCTGCCCTTTGTCCAGTCCCTTCCCCCAGTGTTTTGCAGGGAACATGCCTATAATGTCTGGCCTCCCCTTTGTTCCTTTCCTGTTAGTAATTACTAGTTAATTACAAGGGTATCACCACCACAAGCAGTGCCACTGTTCCTCCCGCAGGCACCCGGAGCACACTGACCAAGCTCCCACCTTCCTCCTGGAGTGTGACAGTTCGGTGCTGGGTGCGCTGCAGAAGCACCTGGTGCTGCACAAGATTCGGCGGAGGGTCACGGTGGAGCCATGCCCTGAGTTGCACGTTTGGGCCGTTTTGCCAGCCACTCCTCAGGAGGTGGGTGGGGCTGCGCCACTGCCCAAGCACCAGGGCTCTGCCATCCTCGCCCGTGACCCCCGCACTACCCGCATGGGCTGGCGGCTTCTCACCCAGGACAAGAGCCCTGCCCTGGTGGCCAGGGGCAGGCTCAGGGACGTCTGCGATTATCACCGGCACCGGTACCAGCAAGGTGTGGGGGCACCTGGGGACCAGCGGAGACTAAACTGGTGGAGTGGGAGGGGCTGGAATGCAGGGCCCAATTGAGAGCTGGGAGGCACCGGGAGGAGCCAGTGGAGTGAGCATGGCTGGGGTCAGAGAGGAAGTCTTTTTTCTAGCAAGTAGGATTGAGGACCAGGGGATAGGGAAGTGGTGGCAAGCAGAGGATGGGGTGCTACAGAGGTGGGAGGGGCTATGCCTGGTCTCCCTTGGCTGAGCCCTCACCTTGTTTCTCCCTTGCCACCCCCACAGGTGTTCCTGAGGGGGTCCACGACCTGCCCCCAGGAGTGGCCCTACCCCTGGAGTCCAACCTGGTCTTCATGAACGGTGTCAGCTTCACCAAAGGCTGTTATGTTGGCCAGGAGCTGACAGCCCGCACCCACCACACGGGTGTCATCCGAAAGCGCCTCTTCCCAGTGCAGCTCTTGGGCCCCCTCCCTGAGGGTGGCATCACCCCTGGCACCACGGTGCTCACTGAATCTGGACAGGCTGTCGGCAAGTTCAGGGCAGGCCAGGGGGATGTGGGGCTGGCCCTGCTGCACTCAGAGAAAATCAAGGGCCCGCTCCACATCAGAACCACAGAGAGCGGCCGGGTGGCCCTGACTGCATCTGTGCCAGACTGGTGGCCCACAGCCACCAAGTAGCCCAGGCGTCCCTGCACTCCCACAGGGCGCCTCTGTCCCCCTCTGCACACTTGCAGGCTGGCCCTGTGAAGACATGCCTCCTTGGAAGGTCCCGAGTGTTCGTGGGATTCCTGCGGCTGCAGGTGTGCCAGGCCTTTCCAGCCGCCGTGCTTCCAGCTGACACCTGCCTCTGCTGGTGGCTCTGTGCTGGAGGAGCCAGAAGCAAGCCTTGCACCTGCCACAGCTGAGCTGAGCCCCATATGCCAGCACACCCAGATGAGTTCCAAACCGTGTTGCTCTGGAGGCCATTTGTCCATCAGCCAAGGACAGGAGTGAGAAGCTGTGCTTGCGGGGCCTTCCCCCACCGCCTGCACCACTCAGCCGGCTTCAGGGCAGGCCTGGCACCGAGGCGGTGCAGCCAAAGGATGGCAAGGGGCAGGTGGCTCTGGGAATTGTCTTTCATGCGGGCTTGGGGCATGTCTCAGGTCAGCAATCATATGTGGCAGGTGTGGTGGTCGTTTTGGTGGATGGAGGCACCAGCTGCCCACCGGCACCACAAAATGTTCTCCAATCGCACCTCTGCGCTCAGGGTGCTGGCCATAGGAGCCCTGGTACCATTTCACAGGGGGCACTCCAGCTCCACAGCATTGGCCCCTTGGTGGCCTGGGCAGCCACTCCTCCTTCCTGAGCCTGTGTGCAGAGAGGAGCTTCTGCTTGGTTTACCACCGCTGTTTTCTGATGTGACCAGGCCCCCTTTAAACCGCTGATGTCCATCCTCCCACTGCAGTGTGATTGACATTATGGGTGACCCACTGGTGCCTCAGAGTGAATATTAAAGTTTGACTTACAAGCGGCTCATGTGGAATTCTAGTTTCATTTTGTGGAAGGTGCTGGGACTTGGTTTTGTGCAGACTAGATATGTCAAGAAGGTCTCCCTGGAACAGCCAAGCACAGCAGATAAAATAGTTTAGCAAAGTTCCAGGCCCAATTGGACTGACAAGAAGATCAGAGGCCAGGGCTTTGGGGGCTCTGAGCTGTGGTCTGAGGAGGAGGGCCAAGTGGGGAAGGAGGCATCTTGGTGCCTGGCAGGGTGTCAAAACCCTGCTGAGAACCTGCAGCCAAATGTAGGTTTGGAGTTGCCCCAGGAAGAGGTGGGGAGCATGTGAGGGGAAGGGGGCCCACAGTGGGACTGGGCATTGAAAGTGAGGAGATGGTGAGGGAGATGGGGGAGGGCCCAGCCAGCCCCCAAGGGCAAGGCTCATCCTGACGCACTTCTCCTGGGTGGAGGAAATTAAGTCGTGTTAGCTTCTGGACAGGAAGGCATATAAATGAAGGACTTAGGAGCTCTTGTGTTAATAGCCAGGGCAGTCACCTCTCGCAGCTCTGCCTCTGGCACCTTTGCATCTGTTTTCTTTTACTGAAAATTTAGCCCACTGGCTAGTCTTTACACTGATGCTGAGACCTTGGCTCAGGAGTCCAGTTCCCTCTGTGTCTGTGTGATCTGAGCCTAGAGGCCAGCCTTGCAGGCCAGGCTGTCCCTCTTGGGTAGACGTGCATCCACAGCCGGTATCTGGGCTAAAGACATGCGCGCTTCTCATGGGACTGCGGTGTTTGTAGCACATCAGAGCCCTGGGCAAGAGTCTGAGCCATGAGAAAATGGGAAAGGAGGCTGGCCCTGGGTTCTTTTCAGCACGGGACATTCTTATAACCGTCTTCAGGGTTCTCCAGGTAACAGGGACCTTAAAATATTTGGTTCAGATTCCACATTATAACTTAGTGCTTTTAGAAGGAGACTGCCACACATGGTCAAACCACACCAGCTTTCACAGAAACTTGCAGAAGGCTTGGCCCCTAGTGATTCTGGAGTGGCCTCCAAGTGCCAGTTGGGTCCAGTCTTCACATCTGCCTCCAACTTCATGAACCCTGCTCCATGAAAATTGGTGCAGGTGCCCAGAAGGCTCTTAGCTAGTTTTTACATCTGCTTTAGTTTATTTTATAAAAAGTGTAGCTCAGCTGGTGTCGCTTTAGTTGGTTGAATTTTATCCCATGCGCCAGAAGGTCACCGATTGGATTCTAGGTCAGGGCACATGCCCAGGTTGTGGGCTCAATCCCTAGTAGGAGGCAGCTGATTGATCAATGTTTCTCATTGATATTTCTATCTCTCCCTCTCCCTTCCTCCCTCTGAAATCACTTTTAAAAAACAAAAAATTTAAAAGTGTACAAGTTCTGAAAAATAGGTGGTCATAGTAAAAAAAAACAAAACCCAAAAATAGCCCTGCAAGGTAGTGTTTTTAGGAGCCTGTAAGTGTAGGTGTGAAACTTCCTATGGAAACCTTCCTCCAGCTCAAGCCTTCCACAGAGAAGGTTCTAAGGAATAAATAAACCTTTATTGCTAAAAAACCCTGAGGAACCCAGAAATACTCAATCCCCAAAGAAACAAGGTCAGCAGAAAACCCACACATTTTCAGATATTTATGTAACCAGACACACTATGAAAAATGTATATTACTATATTTAAAGAAATAAAATAAGGAATTTAATATTAGTAAGAGCAAGAGACTGAAAAAGAATCAAGGAAAATTTCTAGAAATAAAATATTTTAAAAGTCCATGGATACAGTTTTTGAAGAATTCGGAAACTGAAAATATGACCCTCCAATGAAGAGCTGGTCCTAGAATGAGCACAGAAAGACAGAGGGAAATGAGGATGGGGTGAAGAGGGGCAGAGAGGGATATAACTGATCCAAGGTGGTGGGCGTTACACAGGAGAGGAAAAGACGTGGAGCAGGGGTGGTGTTCACAGAAATAGTGGCTGAGAACTTTCCAGAATTGATGGAAGTCATTCTTTTTTTTCAAATCCTCACCTGAGGATTTGTTGAAAGAGACAAGAGAGGGAAACATAGATGTGTGAGAAAAATTGACCGGTTGCCTCCTGCTCGTACCCTGACCAAGGAGGGAGGGAGGGAGGGAGGGAGGGGGGGGGGAGAGAGAGAGAGAGAGAGAGAGAGAGAGAGAGAGAGAGAGAGAGAGAGAGAAACATAGATGTGTGAGAAAAACTAACCAGTTGCCTCCTGTTCATACCCCGACCAGGCATCAAACCCACAACTTAGGTATGATCTGACTGGGAATTGAACCTGCAACCTTTTGTTGTACAGGTGTTGCTTCAACCAACTGAGCCACGGGCCAGGGTGATGGAAGTCATTCTTAGACTCGGGAAGCCCAGTAGGTCCCCAGCAGTATATAGTCAAGCTTTGGTTCTCTAATGTCTCCCATTTCGAACAGTTCAGTTCTCAACCAATTTGTTCGTGGAAAAAATGTCTTGGTTGTCGAACAAAACTTCAGTTCTCAGCCCCACAATCCTTTCATGCTGATACTTCTGTGACCAGTCACATGTCTCTCAGGTGACAGACAAAGGAGAGAATGTGCGAGTATGAGTCAGTTCACCACTAAACCTTGCGTTGCTAACATCTCAGGAAATTGTGCTGTGAATATTTTCATGTTTATTTTTTTTTGCTTTTGTTGCTGCTCATTGTTATTAAATATGTATAGCAAGTCACCATCGGTCCTAAGAAGGTTAGTGATAGCAGCAAAGTGAAAAGGAAAGTTGTGAGGACAAATTGATAGAGCTTAAAAAAGAAATAATTACAAAGTATGATAGAGGTGTTTGTGTGTCTGATCTGACTACCGAGTATGGCATAGTAAGTGATTAGCACAATTTAAAAACACCTCTGAAACACCATTTAGAATGTAAACCAACAAGTAGGTTAAAACAGGAATCATTTGGGGATCTGGAATAGATTAATTCAATTTACATTACTTCTAGTGGGAAAAAATGATTCAGTTTTTGAACAAATCACTTCTCAAACAGCCTTGTGGAACAAATTAAATTTGAGAACTGAGGTTCCACTGTAAATAAAAAGTCCTACCTACTCACAGCTTATGAAAGTGCAGAGTTCCAAAGACAGGGAAACATTTAAATGTACTTAGAAAGAAAAGTCTTTAAAAAAAACCCTGGTTTATCAACAGAAGGAAAAAGAATATTCCCCAGGTACTGAGAAACATAACTGTCAGCCCAGCAAAACTGCTATAAGAAAGAATGAACTCTTACTCTTTGGGAAAACATGGATGGACTAGCGGGTGTTATGTTCAGTGAAATAAGAAAGACAAATTCCATATGATATCACTTATATGTGGGATCTAAACAAATAAATGAACAAAACAGACCCATAGAGAACAGACTGATGGGTGACAGGAGAAGGGTGTTGGGAGCTGGTTGAAAAAGGTGAAGGGATTAAGAAGTGTGAATTGGCCCTAGCGTATTTGGCTCAATGGAGAGGGTGTCAGCCTGCAGACTGAAGGGTCCCAGGTTCCATTCCCGTCAGGACATGTCCTTCAGTTGCAGGCTCCTCCCAGGCCCGGGCTCTGGTCAGCCCTCTTGCAGGGACTACCAATCGATGTGTTTTTCTCACATGGATATTTTTCTCTTTGTTTCCCTCTTTCTTCCACTCTCTCTAAAAATTAATGGAAAAATATCCTTGGGTGAGGATTAAAAATACACCCCCTCTCCCCCTCAAAACAACCCAAACAAACAAAAGGGGTTCTTCTTGTAGCATAAGAATATAATGTGAACAAAGGAAAAAAACCTTTCATATGTTTGAAAAGTTGAGACTTGCTTCTAAATACTTCATGGGTTAAAACAAATCAAAGCACCCCATAAATTATAAGCTACTTAGAAATGTAATGACAATGAAAATACAACAAAATTTGGTTGTGGATGTAAATTTATTCGGGGTAACTAGAGCTTCAGTCATATTATTAAAAAAGACTGAAAACCAGCTTTGCCTCCAACTTAAGGAGTTCACAAAATAACAGGATAGACTCAAAGAAAGAAAAGGAAGGAAAATAATAAAATAAAAAACAAAACAACAGAGGGGCAACAAAATCAAATGTTTTGAGAGTAGCAGGGTGATGGGTGTGGTAAGGGGGCCCCGGGGCTCAGCTCCCCCACTGCCCGGCCTGCCTGGGGCCCCGTCAGCCTGCCAGGTCGCTGCGTTCTCTCCATACTCCCCTTCCCAGCTGTGGATTTTTCAGAAGTGCTCATTTAAAAATGTTACCCCATTTTCTTCCAGGTTTGTCCGTGCGTTGTTTCTCTGTGTAGCTGAGATAACACCATGTGTAATAAACAGCTCACTGTTTCATGTCCTGTATTTCCCCCCACATATCATGCGCGTGTTTCCCTCCGTCCTCACCATGAGTGCTTTTGGTGATGTCCAGTTTCTGGATGTTGCTCTGTTTGCTCAGCGAGGCTGCCGATGAACATTCGGTGGGTTCCTTTGTTTCCCCCTCTTTTTAGTTCAATCATGCTTTCGTTCGTCTTCCAGATAGGTCTCGTGGGATGATTTCCTCTGGACTTTGCTCATATTTCAGGTGGTGGTGAGCTGAAGGTGTGGGCGGGGTGCCTGCCCCCTGGCTGGTCACACTTGGCCAGCTGTGATGTGTTCTTGACGTGGCACTGGTGCAAAGAGCATTTATAGATAGGTTTGAGAAAAGTTATGCAGTGGGAAGGGTGAGACGGCAGGACGGAGACCCCGTTTTCAGAGACTGGTACGGAGAGGTGAGTGGAGTCGGGCGGGTGGGCACCAGGCACGGGAGTGGAATATCCTGCTGGGGGAGCCCCTCCCTGTCTATAGTGCGTGTTTAGACCAGCGTTCTCCATGATTTTATTATGAAAACATGTCACAGAGTTTTGCAGTAAATACCCCGTGGATGATGCCCGATTCGTGATGAGCCACTGCTGCTGCGTGTGGCCCCCATCCTCTAGCCCCCCTGGGCCCTTCTTATTTTTGATGCATTTCCAAC